AAAAGCAATTCCCTCTTGGTAACATGAGCCTTGCATCAGACTCCCTTATTCATTTACAAGAAAATCTCCTGCTTCTCTTTTCTCAGCCCCACCACTTGCATAATGCCCAGTTCTAGTCACAAGGCTAACAAAAGCCACCCACCACAGAGGACTGAGCTCTGTCACCTGGCATGCCTGAGGGGGTAGGGAGCCATAAGGATGTGAGATACTACTACATAACATCATATGTTTCATTTTGGGAGGCCAGAAGTGTATCTCAGCAAAGGCTTTGAGATTTATCCAGACCAGCCATAGCTCTGTGATTGCTGTGAGTGTACATGGGGGGAAATAAAAGTGTATATCTCAAACACATCAGCAAATTAAAAAGATACAGTTCCCACTCTCCAGCATCGGCCAGGGGAGAAAGACAAAACATGTCTGAGACAAGAGAAAGTACATTTTCCTCTGTCCTCTGGTGATACCATATCTCCTTTTTTCAAGCCACTTTGGTAAGCTTGATGTCTCCTGAGATCCGCAAAGCTTTCACCAAGTTCAGAGGCTGAATGCGGTGAGTGAAGTCACAGAGCTGCCGTCCATCAAGTAAGACTCGTATTTGCTGGTGTTCACATAAGAGCTCCATCTGCAGTGGAAAAGGACAGGGAAGGGTGTTAGAGATCAGCAGCAAGGCTGATTTCAACAGCATAGACTTAGAGCTAAATGTAAGGGGGATAAGAGAGCACAAAGTCTACCAGTTCTTCTGAAATGCCCCTAATAAATAAATAACCTACCCTCTTCTGAGATGATACTGCAAAGCTGCAGTGGGTACTCTCACTATGATTAGGGAAAGGGATGCATCTTTCCCATCAGGGCTTGAACTGTTGCTGTCTGCACCATACTAGACTAATTAACCTGGCAATGGCTGTTTGTAGTCATATACATAGCCTTCAGCTTTTCTCCCCTCCTTTTCTTTGTCCTATTCATAGTACCTGAAAAATTACCTTGAACGTGTCACCTGCTGTAAATGGGAAGTAGGGAATAGTCTTCTCTTCTCTTCCCCATTTCCCAGCAATTCGTGCATTTCGGGTGATGGATTTCTCACTGAAGTTAACTGTAAATAACAGCCCAACATCTTTGTTGGCATCCACTGGATCACAGAGCAGAGTCACTGAAAAGCTGAAAAATAATCTATTAAATGACTGGAACTTTCAGAAATGTGAAAGGAGATTGTGAACATAGCAGATGCTTATAGAGACTAGAGATAGCTGTTGGTTTCGTGTCAGACTGAAACACAGGACTTTTACAGGCTTAGAAGCTGAGAAAGGGATGAGACCCAGCTGGTCCTTGTTTCCTGCCCCAGTGTCCAGTAGAATGCTAGTTATTTCTGATGTTGCTTTACCTCTCTGATTGTTGAAGTCAAACCCTTCAACATGTACTCATCTGCGTCCTAAAAATGGTTATGGCATTCACCAGTGGAAGCAGTGGAGTGGACACCCATAGATGCAAAAAAGTGTAATGATGAGCGTAGTTTATGTTTTCCAGATAAAAGACAGCAATGAACCTCTACCTCCTGTGCCAAACCCGGTTTTTAAATGGTGTTGATTCTAACCCCCCACAACCAAGACTCAGGCTGAGAATTGCACCTCTTCCTGGAGGAGAAATGCAAGTTCTGTATTCCCTCCCGCTCACATGAGATAAGGGCAAGGAGTAGAAAATCTTGTCAGGGCAGTCAGAAAGGCCGAACAGTTAACTCCTCCCTGACCTTTTAATCTTAGTCTGAGTGCAGGAAAATTAAATATAGCCATAAATTATTAATCTGTTTGACTTTCTTCCTTCAAAGAACACATACCTCCAAGAAAGTGTTTGAACTTAGAAGACAGGTAGGAGTATGTATAACAGGGTGAAGCCCCCAGCAGTCCCTTCACCTACCTCTTGGGTTTGGAGTGTACCATGCCTATGATTGTGAGTTTCATGGTTGGTCTCAGGCCACCTTTAATTTCACCAACATACTGCTCCACCTGCAGGGAACAGTGAAAATGGCTGCAGTTGGTCATGTGTGGATAAAGCAGCTTTAACAGCTGCTTTGATCACCTGATATAACTTGGGTTTATTTTTATATATACAAAAGAACTTATAAGTATTTCCAGCTAAAAGTACTTCTTGCAGTCTAATGACACAATAAATCTGGTAACAGCACTCCAGTTGCTCTGGCCACAGCAGATGAGAAGCTTTATGGCAGCATGATGTGTGGCATAGACTCTGCTTTAACCTGCTTTCACCGGCCAGCTCAAATTTGCTAAGGTTTTGGTGGGCTAACTTGGCATCATCAGGCTTTACACCAGGCCAGGCAGCCTCTGTCCTCCACTGTAAAAGCAGTGTAGATGCTGCCCTGTATGTTGACCACATCCTCACAGGCAATCCCAGTCCTTTTGTGACAGTGACTTTGAAATGGCATACTTCTTCAGAGACAAAAAATTACTTTTTGTTGGATCTGCTTTTGGCCTATTCACAGAGACCTGTAGTTGCAAGCTGCACCCAAAGATCTGAGCTACATTTGCTTTTTCCAAGCAATTCTCTAACAGCTTTGACGGTCAGTGGAGGAACTAATATAGGCCATAGCTGACATGGAAATATTAAAGACACAGACCTTGGAAACAATTGATAGGGATGTTTTGAGGCTTCATTCTCAGAATGGCTTTAAAATGTCAATGTCAGAATACTACACTGCAGCATGTAATCACTCCCCGTGCAGATTCACTTAGAAAGAAGCTGCTACAAAACACTAAATGTTATTAGCAACTTGCATAACACTGATAATATTCCAAGGCAATGCACAACAGACACTGTTTGAGATAAAAAGAGCTTGATCATTCCAGTGTTCCAAGGTGAAAATTCAGACAGGTTTGCTAGAAGACCTATACAATATATGCACACAAATTCAAAGATAAAAAATGTTTTGCCTGTACCTCATTTCCTAATTTTATTATACTAATAGTATCTTCTGCTAAGATGACCTTATACAATTTATTTTCCCACTTTGACATTCACATCCAGCAACCTTTAGAGCTTCACAGATGTATTAATAAACTTCCAATTCCTAATAAGGTCAATATTGGGAGAATAATTTTGAAATATGCCTTCAGAAATGACAGCAGTACTACTAATTGTTAATGATGTAAAATTACTCTTGCAGGAGTGTACAGGTGACTCCAGCAAATATGTTTTGAACTTTGTAATAAAAGAAATGCATCAAGCACTTGATATGTCTTACATAAGGAAACTGCTTGTCAAGTAGAGTATGACTGTAGGGAGATACTTTAAATTGGATAAAGCAATTTTAAAGTGGGTAATAAGCATTAAATATCTCAGGATAAATGAAGTTCATGTTCATAGAGGTCTCATGTGCCACTAAAGCTTCTTCCTTCTTACCTAGAGACAAGATATAAAATATTACCCCAAACTGAAAGTGCACATTGAGAAATTGTTTGTGCAGAGGTGCACCACAGTGCAATAAGTACCATCAGTAAAGGCACACAGTATCAGCACTAAATAGAACAAATGATGACCACATGGTCTCAACAGTTACAGCTCATCCAGTGTGGCTGGAGAAAATTCAGAGGCGTGACTGCCCACACCCCATTTATCTGGGGACACCTAGTTAACCGTACAGGTGAGAAATACTCAGGAAGCTGTAGGAAGTAATAGCAGAAACTCCTGCAAGCTTGTCGAAGAGTTTATTGGTGGGTCCCAGCGTATGCACATGGGCACAGTTCCCATCCAGTATTTTCCATTCCGGAGCCCTGGGGACTGACTAGGTCACTTACTTTGGCACACCTCTCCTCTGTCATCACCGCTCTCCCTCTTACACTTGCCTCGCCGCTGCAGCCCCCGGAGGAGTTTTTGTTTTGTGCGTCAGGACAAAAGCAAACAAAAAGCCCGGAATAAAAGGAGGAGGTTGAGGGGGGGGGTTGGGTCTTATCTCTGCCAAACAGTGGCTGGACACCACCCAGCCCCGCAGCTGAGTCACGGCCCTCAGCGCCTCGTCCCTTGTGGGGCAAGCTCACAAATAACGCGGTGCGAGGGCACGGGACTCTCCCGATGAGCTGTACCTGGAGCTCTGCCTACACATTTTTATACAAGTATTGAAAATTCCGAGTCAGCGCGCGTAACATACTCCTAAGATACTCTCTACTACATACGCATACACTTGTATATATAATACATACAAACTCCACGCCATTTGATACCAATTCTCTCTCAAATGCCTAACTATATACGCATATATATGTATCTATTTAAATATATTTATATACAATTTACAGCCTTATATATACACCTACACGTAGGTCTGTACACCCTATATATGCACTTACATGTACTGCAAACACTATATATATATATATATATATATATATATATATTTGTATAAATGTTTAGGGGTGAATATATGTATATGTATGTATATGTGTCCCAGAGTGAAGTTATACAGGGTTATACAGCTATACAGGGGGTACATATATTCCCACACACATACGTACCCCTGTACGTGCACCTCCGGGAGTGTATGTAGGTGTAATTTACGTCTTTACACACACCCACAGCCGACCGCAGCATAGGCCACAGCAACCCCTCCGCCTGAGCCGCCCCTTCCCTCTCACGGACCCCGCGTCCGCGCAGGGGGCGGAGCTTCGGGCGGGAGCCAATCAGAGCCTCGCGAGGCACGAGCGAGGGGAGGGGCTGGAACCTGGGGGCGGGAGTGGGCGTGGTCAAGGGGGCGGGGCTTGCGCTGCCCGCGCTCCCGCGGCAGCGTCGGGCGCCCCAAACAAACATGGCGGTTATTTACATGTCGCCCCGGCTCGGCCAATGGGCGAGCGCCTTGCCGCGTGCCCGGCCGGCGGCGCGGTCAGCTGAGGCGGCGCCCAAGATGGCGGCGGCGCGGGGCGGTGGTGCCGGGGCGGTGCCGGAGAGCCCAGCGCCGCCGGGGCTGCGCCCTGCCCCGCCAGGGAGCGCGGCATCTCCTTCGCGTGTGTCACCCCGTCCCGGGGCATCCCCACGTCCTGGGAAGATGTATTCTTTTGGGAACGAAGAAGCGGACTCTCTGGAGCGTCTCTTCGGGTTTTTCTGTGAGTGCGTACGGCGTGGGCACTGGGAGCTTGCACAGGCCTGCGTGCCCCAGCTGAGCCAGTGGCACGGGGACGGCCCCGGGAAGGTGGAGACAATTCTTCGGGCTCTGGTAGCTTGTCCCGTGGGGGTAAGGTAAGTAAGCTACTGCTCTGGTTCCGTAGACTTGAATGTGCAGTGGGGAGGAGCAATTAGCTTAGTGTCGGCTGCGGGAGATAGGTGGAATCAGGGAGGTAGCACTTCAGTGCTGAGGTGTCTTGTGATGCTGTTGTTTGAACTTTGATGTCTTATCACTGACCAAGAACGTAGCAGGTTGCCCATCCCGCCGGGAAAACGAGTTGTGTTCATGGTGATTGATACAAGCCTAAAACTACTTGGAAGCATTTCAGAACTGATTTGGTTAGATTTTAGTGAAGGAAAAGGACCATCTCTTGAAATTACGTTTCTTTGACACTGAGATTCAGTTAATTTAGAAATGGAACCACCAAGATCAGCAGTGTAGTTATTTAAAATGTTATCTTGTTTCCAACCCTTGAAAAATCTCTTAATTTCTAAAACTGCAATCTAAAAAGTTTAAATTATGCTGTTGATTTCTTGATTCTCTCTCACAGTATTTTGGAATGGCATCCGTTTTACTCAATCCCAGCTACTTTTTATCTATTTTTATTTTTCAGTTAGGCGTATATGAAGGGTGACTTTCTAGCACTTCAGGGAACATTTGTATTCCCCCTGTCTAATCAGATGATCATAATTCTTCACATTGAAGTTCATGTAACATTTCAGTAAAGGTGCTAACAATTTACACTGACAGCAGCTGGAAGGAGTCTGGAGGAAGGTGTGCTCATAGATAGATGAATATTGCTAACAGGCATGTGAGACATAAGAATTTTCAATATTTTGATCTTTATTACCTGGGTTATCACATTTAAAGGCTTTAGTTAGCAGTGCTGAGATTTTTAAAGGACAGGAAACTATATTGTGCTTTCTCATTTACCTAGCCCGCCTGACAGTACTGAGCATGTTCCTAACTGTGTAGGCTTTGGGATGTTGAAGTACTGGAGCGCCTGAAATACTGATGGAAATTAGAAGGATTCTTTGTTTAATTAGTCATTGCTTCTCTTTTAATTTGGATATAGCAGCATTTGGGCTGCTATGACCTAAAACTTAGTTTCATTTTTTTGGTAAAAATAGGCAGAACAAGAAATAGCAGTCTTTAGCAAGTGGTCACATTTCAACAAAATCTGCTGAAGTGCTCAAAGAGGGCTATACAGACTGAACTTTGGACCAGAACTAGATTTCTTTGTTTTGAGGAACTGCGTCAGGAGTGTGTGGCCAATCTAAAAGCAGTTATTTGCACAGCATAAATAACTGAATTGATGTGCAAAAACACCAATATTCTGGTTTTTTTGCATTTTTTTCCTTTGGCTACTTACTTGTCTTTCTATCTTACTCAGAGAAATACAAAATCAAAATGATCTCTGACAGTGTTTTCCTGGATCTTGGCAATGGAGACAATCTTGTATAATCCACTGTATATGCTTCTTGCTTTTGTAGACGGGGACAGAATTCTAGCCCAGGGAGATCTGCATGGCTTTGGCTTCTTGTGCTGGAAAAATGGCTTGCCAGAAATCAGGTACAGAAACATCCTGATGACTTCCAAATGCACTTTATAACTCTGACTGTCAAGTGCAGAATGTCTCCCTAGTTGCTTATTTAATTGTAGGTTTTCCCACGTTTCATGGAATTAAGTTCTCAAGGTATCTCAGGACATGCACTGATCTTGCATTTAACAAATTTATCACAAAAGAACTGTAATATTCACACTGAAGAGAAAAACTAGGGTTTTTTTTTAAAGATATTAGAAGTTAACATTTTAGCTTTTCACATTCATACACAGGAAAATCATGAGTGTATCAACTTCTGCATTTGTGTAGTACCTCTCTTATGTTAAAGATTAAATAGCTCAGGCATCAGACAATTCTTTATAAGCTTTAGATGGTGAGGGATGTGCATACTTCTTTTTAAAAGTCATTTGTCCTTGGCACTAATTAGACTTGCGTTTTTTCTTTTTATTCTGAGGAATTGATGGTTTTGTGATTCTTGACGAGGTCTCTGTTTACAAATGTATGGATAAATAAAATCAATTGGTGTGAGAGCAAAACCTGACTGGAACAGCCTTTAACTGAGGATTAGGTTACTTCATAGAGATATTTCAGTCTGCCTCAAAGTGTTAATGAAATAGCTATGATTATGTTTATATGCTAATGTAAAGAAAAGTTTTATTGACTAAGGTATTTCCCATTCTTATATGGTTTCAGAAAACTGTTCCAGTTGCTCTTCAGAGAGAAACTGAATTTTTGTTGTTCTTGGAAGAATTACAGAAAGATGTCTCTGAGGAAGTCCTAAAGGTGAGCTACTTCTATGCCCTATTTCTTCTTTTTCTGCAGCATGCCCAGCTTCATCAGATCGAAGTTAATGCTTCCTGCTAACTGCTTGAGATGTTAATGTGTTATTAATCTTCTAGGCAACTGAGAGTGTAATTCAGATCCCTTTTTGAAGTTAATCCAATGTGCCTGCAAGTGATTTCTCTGGCTAGAGTGGAGCCTGCAGGCAGGCCAGGAACAGGTTTTTCTACATGCTGTTTTTAACACACATCAGTCCTGACTGCAGCTGCTTGCCACAGTCTTCAATCCTTAGACACCTTTAATAATCATAAACCTACAACCCACTGTGAGCCAAAATAAACTATAGTCAGTAAGCACATTTTAAAAGTATTCTTTTTCTTTCTTCAGAGATCTTAATTTTCATCTCCTATGCACCCCTCTTTTCCCTCTTTCTTTTGGATGCTCTACTATTACTGGTGACATTGCCTAGGGATTGGTATGATGTCTGTTCTGAGGTTCAGGATCCATTTTCCATTATTAATTAAAAAATTCAGGCTGATTTATTTGAGAAGTATGTGGAAATATGCAAAGATGGATTTATATCAAAAGCAAGTATAGAGCAGAATATCAGGAAAGTTGCTAACTGTAGAGCTATCCTAATTTGATGTTACATACAGCAGGTTCAGGTCTGACATGGTGTGTGAAATGTCATAAGATGTTCCTTCTGGTCCTATAGATTCTAACTCCTTAAAGATGCCCTTTTTTGGTTTGTCTGTTTTTTAAGAGGAAAATGGAAACTTACTATATTCAGGGCTATTTCAGCTTAGGAAAAGCTGCTCAGTATTTCACTAAGGATACAGAATTAGCAATTACAGGATGAAAACAAGCAAGGTGAACTTGAATGTTGATTAAAATAAATCTGCTTGAAGTCTGTTAATGAATAATGAAGTCTATGAATGTTACTGTCTCACCTCCAAGGTCATGAATGATTCTACCATTGTCCACACTGTCCACTAGTGTTGCACAGAAATATGAGATTCAACAGTCTCATATCTTTGTCACAATTTCTGTCAGAGGCATGTTGGTAGGTAGAGTTACATTTTGATCTAGCAAATAATATTTTTTAAAAAGGGTATTGTGGACTTTGTTTCTGTTCTCATTCTTTGTGCACACCAACCACCTCTCCTCTATGTAATCTCTGAGGTGTCTCTTTGAGCCAAGGGCAGCATTCACATAATTCCAGGAGTGCCAGAAGTGCTGCTTGAGTGCTGTTCAGCTGGCTTGTCCCACACCTTCTCAACTCTTATTGGGTGGGCTAATTGGATTTTTTTGTTTGTTTATTTTCCCCTTCCCAGTATTGAAATTGTAGGTTTGCTTCTGATAGGTAGAAAATTATTGCTGCTTAAGTAAAGTCTGTGAGATGGCTTCTGAATCTGTTGACCTGTTTTAATCAGATTTGAAAAATTGATGAGGATGATATAGTAGATAGATGGTACAAATCTGGAAAAGTAGGATGAAAAGAACCCCCACTAATCATTATGCTCTTAGTGACCTATGAAGATGCAATTACATTAGGACATTGCTTAGATGGTGGTGCTTCAGGCATCCCATAGGGACTGCTATGGTTCCTTGCTTGTACATGGTCCTTATAGTGTACTTGTGTTTTACAGGATTCTTTGTATTTTGTTACGTATTTAGGCATATTCACTCTTCTAGGAAAGATACTGGACAAGGTGGACCATTATTAATGGATTTCTTAGGTAGTGTGGTGTTTCCAAATAGATTTATCTGCTTGCTTTCAAGTTTAATCTATTTTTTAAATAATTCATTTCATATATTAAGGTAGTCTAAAAGGCTTACTCTTTTATTATTTCCTTCCCAGGAACTGTTTGAAGCATTTGAGTGCACGCAGAACAAGCACATCACAGACAGCCAAAGAAGGGATGACTGTTCTCACAAATTCAGTTTGGATGTTGTTTCAGCTCTCCGGAAGCTTTTGCTGCGGGCTCCCCAGAGGGCAAAAGCCCTGATGGAGTTTTTCCAGGGGGAACAAGGCACACACAGCTCCTCGCTCCTGCAGTATCGCTCTCTACAAAACATCTTTGTTGAGTTTCTTTGTGACTCCTTGAAATCTCTGCAGAGGCTTCAGAGCAGTCCTGAGCTTTCGGCTGAACTAAATCAAAGAGAACTAGTAGATACAATTTATGCTGCTCTCAGTATAGTGACTTTTGAGGTGGAGCATCAAGCAGATGAAATGAAGCAGTTATTCAGGGAGCTCTTGGATGTATGCTGGGCTGAGGGGAGCCCACTGAGGGAAGAGAAGCTACTAAACTGTATGCTGAGGAAACAAAGCCATGGCCTGCTAAGCCTCTATAGCAGTGTTCTCACAGAAAGAACAAGAGAAAAGTTTTTGTTGTCAAAAGCAATACAAAAAGGTTTGTTTCACTTTTTGCTTGGTATTAGTCTCCTGTTTAACAAAACCATTAAGGCATTAAACAGACAAGTAGTCAGGAAGTCAGGCAGTGTTCTTGCTAAGGTGCTTTAACAAACCATGGAGTCTTTTGAAAGACAATGCTAAAATGATCCTTAAAACAAGTAATTGGCATAGGAACACTGGCTCACTCCCCTACATTTTTGCAGTCTGTGCTGTGTTTTGTGATCACTTCCTTTACCACCCTTGCTGTGTTCTATTTTAATCTGCTCTGCATTTCTCTTGATGAAAATCTTGCTTGTAACTAGAAATTTGATACTTGATATATGTGTACAGTTTTTATTTGTTCGCCTCCAACTCAGGGTCATCTGTGCTGGAGTATGTTCCATTTCTGGCCAGTAACAGTTCAATCACCTCAGGAATCCCAACATGTTCAATTAATAGCAATTATGCATCTCTCAAAGGCACCCCTCTCTACTGGAAGATAATCTTGTTGTGATGTTTTCAGGTTCATCTGCATCTGAGCAGCTGGATACAGAGCGAACTGTGATGAGTTTGTTCTCAGATCCCAAAGAAGCTCCTTCGTGGAAGACAGCCTATTTCTACTGCTTGAGCAGCAGCAAGCACTTTCTGGAACAGATTCTGGTACAGCCATAAAGTCACTAACAGGGAAACCCAATGGAGGCTAAAGTCAGTCCCCGTGTTGAACGTATCTTGGTGGTGCACAGAAGCATTTTGTATTCAAATAGTGTTTGCCAGGGGTGATGACTAACAGGAACAAGGAGGTAACGGTGATAACCCTGCTACTTGCAGCAGTGCAATGAACATAAAACTGCTGGTGAGATTTTTAGAAAAGCTCATCTGCATGCAGACTGAAGATTAAATCTTCAGGGTTTAAGAAGTCTCATTTTCTGCTTGTAGTTTTGTTGGAGGCACCGTTTACCTCATGACCTTGAACTTGTTGCTTTCTGATGCCGGCAGACTTGGGGCAATGAGACCAGTTTGCATGGTAAAATTTATGGTGAAAATAGTCTGTTATGAATTAATTGATTTTTATGTATTTACATAGAAGAAATAGAATACAGGCAGGTGGTCACTGTTAAAGTGTGGTTTTAAGACTGAACATATTTCAACTCTTGCGTAATGTGCTTGCAGAGGTCTTTTACATGTTGCCTTTGGCAGAGACATAATCAATAGAAGGAATGCAAAGATAATGTAGAGTGGAATTTGAGTTGACTCTAATAAGCATTTGAAATGGTGTTTTTTTCCTAAAGACATCTTTACTGATGAGTATACTGATGGCTTGGACAATATAAATTTAGGGAAGTTCTGGGTGCGGAACGTCACTATTTTATTGAAGCTAATATTGAAATATCTACTTGCTTACATAGTCTACCAAGCACTATGGGTCTCCACATTTTGGAAAAATGAATACTTCTTCCTTTTATTTTCTAGGTGACTGCATTAGCTTTACTAAAAAGAGAAGACTACTCGGGCCTGAAGAGCTTGTTGAGGAGAGAATTCAACCCCCTTAGCCGCCTCTTGGTGTTGTTAGGATGGACTCATTGTCAAAGCTTGGAATCGGCAAAAGCTTTGCTATGGAGTCTACACAAAACTCAGGTAAATCAGCAGAAAGCAAGTGGCAGTGTCCCAGTCTGAGTCCAGATAATGCAGTTCGTTTGTAAAAACAAGTGAAACCAGGGAGTTTTCAGTGAGAAGGTCAATCTTCCTCAAAATGGAATAAAAAAAGTTAAGGTATTACAGTCGTACGTAGGTAACATAATGGGACACTTGCCTTGCTTCCTATTCCTTGGCTGTGAAGGGAGTATGACTGCGAAGGAAACTCTGAAAGTTTCTCTTGCATAAACTCATAAATAACCTCTGCCATTAACATCAGAGAAAAGACAGCAATGGTTGTTGATTAGTTTTGAAAGAGCTGGGGCATCTTTCTTTCATGTAATTTCCTCCAGTGAGTCATCCCTGGGTAGTGACTAATTCAGGCCTGAGTTCAACAACCGTGTAGCCTGAAAATTCCCCATACATATTCTCAAAGCGAAATGATAAATGTCAAGAGCTGTGAGCAAAAGATCCACCTTGTTTGAGGACAGTCTTCATCTGTGGAAAAGTGACAGGATTCCAGCTCTGAAAGTGTAGTTGCACTTCAGATGATGCCTGCTGGCTGGCTTAGATGTCAGAGGTGGAGAGACGAACCTTTTGCTGCTGGGTCGTAGTGTAGACTTAAACTGTCAATGCCTTAAGGGAGTTACTATCTGTTGGTAATACACCAGAAGTCTATTCAGTAGCTTCTGCAAAGTTAAACTCTTAGATCTGATTTTAGCAGGGAGTCATATGTAGTAGAAAAGCATGCGGGACAGGAGAATAACCATCTGCTACCCAGTATGTCATCTTTTGAGTATGTGATTAGTTCTAGAGATTAGCCTTAGACTGTTACTAGGAAGCATTAATTTGCATTTTATAAGCTACTCTTGAAAGGGGATTTAGCCAACTTTCCATGGTCTGTAGATGTGTCAGGTGGAGGCTGACTGACTTTTATTAACTTTTTTTAACTGACTGTTAGAATAGCCCTCCTTTGCTGGCTTTGTAATAAATCTGGTAATTTTCTGTATTTGAAATTTATTATCCAGACAAGGAGGTCTTGCAAACATGCATGTGTGACACAGGCTTGGTTCTGCTGACTGGCTGGAGGCTTTGTTGTAATGAGATTGTTTTATTTATCTTTCCATTTAGGATCTGTGCAATGATTCAGTATTGAAAGATTTTTGTGATGGGCTGTGGGCTCATGTGGAAGTTCTTGAATGGTGCATGCAGCAAAACAGGTAAAATCAGCAAAAGGACTTTTTTTCCAAAATATGTTGCCAAATCTACCTGTTAAGTCAGCTTATGCATGCAAATAGAGAAGGTATTTTCTTGGCTAATCATCTAATAGTGACTCTATATACAAGCTCTTGAAGTCACTCATAAGCTACAGTTATGCTCTTTGTTTGGTAGTAGTTTGGTTCAGTCAGAATTCGCGTGGGAGTTAGATCTTTAAACATGGCTGAGACTTAAATCTGTGCCACCTCTTTGTTCTCTCTTTCAGTATTACTGTCCCAAGGAAGGTTCTGTTGCAACACTTGCACAGTCTGGATTGCCACACTGCGGTGTATTCTCTGCATCATCTCACCAATCTTCTGGCACTGAATGAAGATGATGTTATTGAGCTTCTTCAAAAATTTCCTGCTAGAGACCAGCAGATGCAGGGTAAATGTGTAGGCTTGTGAGAACACAGAAAACTGACAATCTGTTGAGTATGTTCAGTACTTCTGCCAGGATTTGTTCTCTTGACCTGCTTCTGTAATTGTGTAAGATACCAGTTACCAGCTGTTTTGTGGAAGAAATCCAGGGAGCATGTGGAAATTATTTTAGAAACCTGTTGGGGAGTAAATTGTCTTTCAAGAAGGAGTTGTGAGATCTCTTTGATCTCACAAGGACAGATCTCTGAAAGAGCTTTTTTAAAATGGTAACAAGACTTTGCACATGCTTGTGATATATGCTGCTCATTGTAACTTCTGAACTATGTAGTACCTTTCATTTGAAAAGGAGGTGTATGGTTTGTAATTCAGTGCACTTTAGTTGAAAATCAAAGAGCAAAACCAGATGAAACTGACAGTATCTTGCACTACAGCATCTTTATTTTTGAAAGAGATAAAAAGTGTTGTTTTTTTTTTTCTATTTTACTATTCACTGTTACCAAATTTAAATTTAGTATTTAAATCAGTAAGACTCAGCTACAGCCTGTGTTTACATCACTCCTGCCTCGCTTCTCTCATCTTCACACGTTCCAGTTGGGTGCCTAAAATACCTGCAACTACTAAGCATATCAGATCACTTAAAAGTGACTCTTCAGACACTCTTTTGATTGCAGCCTGTGTCCAGGTTCAGCTCTGCAATTTTAAAGCTGTTTTCTGATAGGGTCTCTTAATAATGACACAGAAGCTCTGTTTTCCTGCGTGTACTAGAACCTAAAAAGCCACAATATTTTTTTTCTAAGTAGTTATTTTATGTTGGTGAATTTGGACATGTAATTTCAACCTGAGTTGCTTGGAGAGCTCTCAGTGATGGATCTTGCACAGGTTTTTCCAGATTACCTAGTGAGAAGCAAATTTCTTCTATATCAGGCTGTTGTGATGTTTGTTTCTATTCCTACTTCTTACAGGTTTTGATGTTAAAACTGTCATGACACTTGTCTTGAATAATCTTCAAGGTATAGGAATTGAGTCTACAATTCCTCTATATAGACTCTGTATAGATCCTTATTTTCCTGCTTTCTGAAATTGCTTTGTTGTTGCTGGTGTTACAGGGTTTTTTAATCAGTTATTACATTTTAACTATTTTCTGCTTAAATTCTGTCAAAGCCTTTCAAAAACAGGAAGAGGCAGTCCCATCATATCTTCTGGGAGCTGCATGACTTGCAAAAGAACTCTAGCTGTGGTTTCTCTTTTTTTTTTCATGCCACATTAATTAATGGAAAACAAGTCCTTCTTCTCTTTTCAATCCAGCAGTTATTGCAGAATTAGATGATTCTATAAGCACATCTTAATAGGATTGCCTTTAAAATAATCTATTTTGAGCTTTAAAGGGAAGAGAGGAGCCATAAACTTTTGTCAGATGTAGTAGTGTTAACAGGCCTTTTCCTCCCATCACCCCATATGCTTCCCCCATCTTCCCCTTCTTTTCAGTACAGATCTGTCAGCTGCAGTAGTGAAACCAGAGTAGTGGTACTGGTAAACAGTTGAGTTCAGGCTGTGCATAACAGTGTTTTTGATCAGTCATGGTAAGCAACAATTTCCTCATGAGTTCCAGTATTCAAGAAGAAGGTGTTAGTATTTCTGGCATAGGAAAAACAATACTATTAGTTAAAGGATTGTTTTTCAGTATTTGTACAAGGAAAAGGATTGATTTAGGTACAAGTACCAACACAGACTCACTGCATCTGAGTTTTTCCAACAAAAGTGAAAAGTGTATTAAACTTACTTTTGATCACCAGTATCTGTCTTACAGGACCGACAGCTAACTCTTTCTCTTTTCTGGAGGATTGTGCTTATCAAATCTCTGAATTTACCTGCTTGAAGTCCTCTTAAGACAGTGTAATGAGAGCTATTTGGGTGTTTACGTATTAGTGTAGAGCTTCTGGGCAACAGTAGAATTTCAGTGGCCATGTGAGTTCTGCAAATGATTCATACTTGGATGTCTCCTCAGTTCTGTCTGCTGTCTACATTATATTTTCCATCACTATCACTGTTTAGAATGGCAGTGATAGGGAGTAGCTGTTTCCAACTGTTTCTGCTCCCAGTTGTTTTGCTTTGGCTGCTCTGTAGTTTTCAGAAGAGTTCAGACTAGTGCTTTCTTTGCAATTGTGCTCAAACTTTGTGGAGGATGGTGCTGAAACAGTTCTTAGGTTAGGTAATTCTGTTCATTTCTTGAATTTGGATGTGGACATTGTCAGTATATTGTGCTTTGTAACAGTGCTTTATTAAAAAAAATAATTTGGCTGATGCCTTTCCTGCATGACAACAGGTAGAGGGACAATCTATCACTTGTATAAGAATACAGGACAGTGGATTCCAAGCACTGATTCAACACTGTGTGTGGTTGTCAGGGCTTCTTTTTTCTTTCTTTGTTGTGGGGTTCTTTTAACCTTTTTACAGTAGATGGATAATTCATCTAAACTCAGCATAACAGAATATATGACACTATATTGTGTTCCTGGGTGAAGGGCATGATGATGTGATTTTTACAATTTGCAGCTCTCCTGTTCTGTTGTACTAAGAAGGGATCATGTCTCTGGCATGTGATACCTTTCCTCAAAAAAAACCCAAAGAGGAAGAGAAGTGGGTACACTACTTCTCTAGTTTTCCTTTATCAAAAATGTGTGAAGGAAACGGTGGGACTGTACTTCTTCTTTAATCAGTTGCAGATTGTATTTGATCTATTGTGTCAGCCACTGTGAATCAACCATGCTATCTATTTATTTGTACAAATCTGAAGAGGTGATGGTACTCTATTCTTACTACAGTCATAGCATAGACATAGTCTACACTGTTTCCCTACTCATCTACTGTGTATTAGAACACAGAATTCTAAGATGCTGAAATGAAACAGGATTTGCCCCTCTGTTGTAAATGCAGCAGTATAGCTTAACCACACACTGCTAGTGAGAGTCATTGTGTGAGATTTTGGTCATTCTGTGCTGCAGAAGGTCCTGTTACACAAGTTCACAGAAAATTTCCTTTTTAGAAGGGGATCCAGACTTGACTTTTCTGTCCCCATCTATTGTAGGTTGGGTTGTTTGGGCTTTTTTTCCAAAAGTAGCAGTGAGATCAAAGCTGAGACAGAAACAGCACTGGGGAAGTAAGACTGGATAAGTATTGCTGTGCAGAAACTGCAGGAGAAAATTAACTTGTTTTCTTGTTTACCTCCTACACCCTCACCACCCTGATTTCCCTCCACAGCAGCCCCACTCCCTAACACCCTGAGTCAGCAGCGTGACCTCGCACTCTTCCGAGCATTCTGTGCCATGAAGTATGCAATCTATGCTCTGTGTGTGAATTCACACAGGCATGCCAAGTGCAAGGATTGTGTACACAGCCTTCTTGGTGATATCCCTGAGGATGCAGCTTTTGGAGAACCAGCAGGTGATTTGCCTCCTTTTTCATGCCCAGGAACGTGTGCTTCTCCATCCAATTGCTGGGCTATAAATTATCACTTAAAATTGGGATAATGTTGCACCCTGTGTACATATGGTATTTTATTCAGTGGGCTATGAATGCTTTGCAAGGAAGTATAATGGTATTTCTTTGAGGTGTTATCTTCAGTAGTAATAGGTATGAATAAGCTACTGGGCTTGTTTTAAAACATATAAGGTAATTGTACAAAAAATACAGTGCTAAAAGGAAGTGATACTAGATATAGGATCACAGCAAGAGATAACTTTGTAACAGTTTATGATTTCCCAGATCTGAAGCTGATTTAATGTCTAGAATGGGTGTAATCTGAATTTGCACATCATTGAACAAAATGATGATTGGCATTGCTCAGAGGGTGGAAGCACACTACCTTTCTAAATGTAAAATGTTGGTCATTACTTGGTTTTTGGAGGAATGATTGGGTCTGAGCCACTGGGCTGGTTCCCTGGGATCCTTCTGGGATTTTCTTAGAAGGCACAAGTTGAAGCAAGGAATCCCCCAAAAAATGTAATAAATGTTCTTTATTTTTGTTTTTAATTGTACAGACTGCTCTTCAGTATTTCCTCAGTACATTGTGAAGTGTCAGCAGTTCTTAAGGAGTGTTCCCATTCCTCTGCGCCTGGAGGTTTTGGAGAATATTTTCTCCTTGCTTTTTGTTTCCTATAATGATCTCTATGCTGAGACTCCTCTACCTGAGGACTATGCAGAGGATGAAGACCTTGACAAAAAGAGCACTACTCTGAGTGTAGAAGGCAGTGCCAGTCGGCGATCTTCCACCTCACAAAGTCCACAACACCTAACAGAGGCAGAAAAAAAATCAGAGAAGCACCTGCCGGCTGCACAAACAGTTCACACAGATACTCGAGATCTTTGTGACTCCATGTTAGATGGCAAAAGCTGTGAAACCTCTAAGCCAACCCACCTGGATCTGAAACACTTCACCAGTGGTGTTACTGGGTTTTTAGTGGATGATGTAGCCATGGAGGCCTTCCTCACATTGCTGCTCAACCACCTAGAAGAAATTCAGAGTTCTCTCCCGTGGGACTCCAGTAATGTGCTTCATGAAGAGCTGGAGCTTGTTGAGTGCTTGAATCTTTCTGCGAGCGGAGATGCCTTTGGAAGTCGCGTGTTACAGTTTTCCAAGTACCTCTCTGAAGCTCACTGGCGATACAAGGTGGTGATGAGTAACAGAAATGCAGGTAGGCTTTGTATTTGGCACTTTCTGATCTCTTACAGCTGTCCAGACAGTGATCTCAAGACTAAATTCCATGAGCATCTTACTGAGAGAGCACATTTTGGCAGATACTGGGAGAGTGACCTACTTGGAGACCACCTGGTTCTTGCACCATTTTCCAACGGAAGTGATCTCTATTCTAATCAGAAAGTTTGGGTCTTTTTTTCCTCCCCTTTGTGGATGTACTGCTTCTCTTTGCCTTTGTCACAAGTCACACTGCAGTGATAAGAAAGGACATGGTGGTGTTGGATCCAGTGCAAGTCAAATAGTCTCAGCTTGTTCATGGACAGTGTTGATTTAGCCTAGTCTGGAAACATGTTAGGAACACATATCAGAGGAAGCTGTATTATTCTGGATGATTGTTGAAGTAGCTGGAACAACACACTCAGGAACCTGTTTCCCATCCTTCTCTGTAGCCCATAACTTGTAAGCCCTGCTGCTATGAGATTTTGTCTTGTAGCATTATTGTGTATCTCGTACCATGTAAGCTCCATATCCCAAGAGAGACTTTGCAGTCTGGACCTTAAATATTGCAAGTTCCCAAACTTGTGTTTAACTGTTTGTCAAGTCTCCCTCTGTAAAGCTGTTTGGTAATGTTTTGGTTTAAATATTTCACAGAACATCAGCTTGGAGCCTCCAGGAGACATTGCTCTTTAATCAGGCGCTCCAGCTTTAAGAAACGAAGTAGATATCGGAGGTACAAGTCAGGTGGGTTGAAAAAGTGACTTGGAGAGGACACTTCTGAAATACGCATAATTTTGCTGAGCTCATAGCTGAATGCAATCAGATTTCATGGCCTAGGAGCAGAGAACTAGATTTATTTCCTTTAGTTTTCTAAGTGGTTTGGAGTGTCTTAGGCCAGTTCCTCTTGCACTGAGTTTGTTTTCTAAAGCTCACCTGCACAAATAACGTCTTCCATACATAGTCTGATTAGGGACAGGGGAGAACTTCAACTACAGTACTAATTTTTCCCTTTCTCCACTATGTCCTGACTGATTGGTATATTTTCATTCCTGTTGCAGTATTTTCTAGCATGTGAATTAACAGGAATCTGTGGCATAAATTGGCAGCCTCAGGAGAAAGTTGTGTTCCTCACCTTTTTTCTATTTAGCCTTTGAAAGGCCTGTCTGGTTTTGGAGTGGCTGTTCCACAAGAAACTTTGAAGTATCTGACGTGAGTCACTGATGGGCCACCCCAACATAGTCTCTAGCCTAGCATTTTCTTCAAATCTGCAGTTTTTGTGTTCATCATAGATGTCAGTGGTGGGGCATTTACAAGATCTTGTAAACTCTTGAAGATCCCTTGAGGTTGCCTAATCTGTGATTTGCAGTAAGTTTTAATTACCTTGTCTAGTAAAAGTGCATTCAATGTGCTGATTTTGATTTGTTTCCATTTTAGATGGGAAAGAGGGAACTTCCAGTCCATCATTGGAAAGCACAAGTAGTGAGCTAAGCACCAGTACTTCAGGTACTTAAGCCACAAAAGTAGTATTTTTTGTCTTTTCAATGCACATGATGAAGAATTTGCTTGACTAGTTAATGTGAATTACTGCTGTGTGCAGGACAGAATTATATCTTTTTGCTTCTCAGATCTCCCATTTTTGGATGACTCTTTTCTGGTCAGAATAGCACATGTGTCTTTTTCTGGAAAAAGTGAATTAGATTTTTCTTGGTACCTTTGGCTTGCGGGAAACAGTATGCAAGCAATGTAGTGATCTGCAAACCATCAAAAAAGCTAATGAGCTGACAGTCATGTAAGCTAAGACATGCTTAGGCATGCTGGACTGATCTAATAGGTCAGATGCTTTAGACTTCTCCCTTTAGCCATATTGAACCAGTTCCTAGCACTGTGTGCATGTTACGTAGCTGCTGAAGAGTGTTACATGGGGATGAGATCCAAACTGCAAATTCTGACCAAATAGTGAAATGTTAAGAGAATTTTTAACAGGATGTTTGTGTTGACTTCTTTACCATAAAAATTGCTTACAACTCTGCTTCTATATTTTTATGTTAAAGATGTGAAATGCTGTTATTTGGTGGGTGGCTGTTACTTGGTGAAATGTATTTTCCCTAATAGTATACTGATTAACTCTGTCTTGCAGAGGGAAGTACCAGTAGTGTGTCTGGCTTGAGTGATTTAGAAAGCAGGACAAGACCACATCAGCAGAACTCCCTCATTCCTATGATGCTTTCCCCCCCAGAATCACTGTTAGTTTCTTGTGTTTTGAGAGGAAACTTTGTGGAAGCCCACCAGGTAAATAAGATTAATGTGTTTTGATTTTTGAATGAAGTTCCTGCTTCTGCATTTAGCAAACATAAGGCTTCCAAGTGAAAGAATCACTTCAGAAGCAGAAGCAAAAGGTAGGAACAAAGATATTCCAAACCAACATCCCACAGATGCAGGGTTTTTTCTGCCTTGTTATGTGAAAATACTTTCTCTACACCTGTGTTCTCAAAGCATGCAAATGTTTGATGAGAGCTAGTCAAGCATAGTGTTTCAACTGACTGAGGAAGACAAAGTGCTCATGTGAAATTTCATTAGGAAGCAGCATCTGAACTGCTTTATTTAATCAGTTTTTCAAAACCATTACACTCTTCCACTTACAATGCCATGGCAGAAACTCACAAAGGTGTTCCTTACCCAAAGAAGTGATTACTTTCATTTGAAGGAGGTATGTTTTGAAACTAAATTTGTGGTATTGAAAACAGGCAGAAAGACTTGAAAATTGACAGTCTGCATGTTTGTGATTCTTTGCTCCCTCACAGCTGTGCATACTTCTCTCTGTGTGGCTTTTGAGCTGATGCTCTGAAAAAAAGTCTTGAAGTTCGTCAATGAGTGGATCTTCTGTAAAAGGCTGTGACCTGGCTGACTTTCAGATAACCATACCGGAGCAGTTCATATCACTTAAACATTGCATTAACATCAGCCAATTAGTTCTGTTTGATTTCAGGCATGCCACTTGATCTTTTCCCTACTTATAGGGCCAAAGGAGCATTTTGTTTTGCTTTATTGCCTTGATTTTCAGTATCACCAATGATAAAGCATTCAGGATTTATGTTGTTGGTTTCATAATAGGAACTTGCATAGCTCTACTTAGCTACCCTGTGTTTAAATTTTGAGGAGGGATTCCTTGCTGAATAAGAATTTATTTGAAATAATCTACTTCGGAGGCAAACTTGATAGATATCTCTCATTACACAGTATATTGAAATTGTGAAGAGGCATTCCAAAAGGTGTGGGTTATGAAAATTAATTCAGCCCTAGTCCTGCAGCAAATAATAGGTAAGCTTTGTAATAATCACTGAAAAACATCTCTGAGGGCCTTTTTTTTTTTTTTCAGACACTTTTCTCTAGGAGAAAACCCTACCATTTCAGCCTGTTGTGTGTGTGGGGGGATGTTTTTCAGTTAAAGTATTTATTTTATTCCTTTGTCTCCTCTATAGCCCTCCCACTAAGCTCTTTGGGTTTTGAAAACTTCATTGACGTGCTCTGTAATTACATCTGTTGTTACTTTTGAAAGGTGGCTTTGATGTTTAATCTGGAGACTACCCCTTGCTATGGTGAATTGATTTTCATGGAGCGTTACCAAGAGGCAGTAGAAGAAATGGCGAGAGTGGAACACAATATTGAGAATCAGTCATCAGATGGCACTGGAGGCATCAGGAAATCTGGCAGTGGCCGTTCAACACTGCAAGCTATTGGGAATGCAGCAGCAGCTGGTAAGGACTGCGCTTTTTGAGTTCTCACAAAGGGCTGGGGAGAAATGAAAAATATGGGAAGGCAGCTTGAATAATGTCAAAATGAGTGTAGCATTTGTTTAGAAGGGTAAGTGGTGGTTTTTTGAGTTAGAAATAGACTATGAATGCTGAAAATTTGCTGTTGATGCCCAGTTAGTTGCATCCATTCTACAGTAATTGATTGGTCCATGAAGCAGGCCACCTATGGAAATACTTTCTATAAGGATTAAAAAATAGTTACTCATTATAGGATCTGATCTAATTCTGCTGTTAACCAGTGATTGTGTGTTTTTGATGACACGTGTAGGTATGGTATTTTATTCCATCTCGGATGTTACTGATAAATTGCTTGCAACTTCTGGAAGTCTTGCCCCTACTCTTCAAGAAAACTTCTGGATCAGGAACATCCAGCTGGAGCATACTGATCCTCTGCGAGAAGTTCTTGAGGACCTCAGTCCTTCAGCAATGGCGGCATTTGACCTAGCTTGTACTCAGTGCCGTCTTTGGAAGACATGCAAACAGCTTCTGGAGACAGCAGAAAGAAGGCTCTACAGCAGCCTTGAAACTCGGGGTAGGCTTTTGATTTTTATGTTTATCCACATGGGCCTGGGAATAGAAAATGCCTCTCTATGCATTTGTTGCATTTGTTGTTTGTGCTAATACCCAAGTCTTAATTAAATCTCACTTTGTACTTGCATGTTAGTTTCTCTTTTTTCCACTTTGATTTTGTCTCCTTTTGCACAATGACTGTTCCAGGCCACCGAACTGACTTGGTTTTACTGCACTCTGACGGTGTAAAGGGTTTTCCAGCAGTTCTCCAGCAAATAAGTAAAATTCTCAACTATTCCTGCACATCACAAGGTCAATCCAGACCAGGTAGTATGCTTTGCTGATAAGGCTTTCTGTTGAAATGTGCTTAAATCAAATTCTTGTCTTCTGTTGCAATGTAAATTTGAACTTTCCATTTTTTAGCTTAGTATTTATGACAAAAAAGGCGAGGGGGACGTGACCAGAGCCCAATTCTGAATAATCTGAAATGCTCTGATTTTTGTATTATAATATACTTCTGGCTTTGTGGGCTTTCTTCTATGCAAAAATATTTGTGTCTTTGTTATAGTTGCTGTTTCTTTCTCTGTCTTTGTAGAGGTTGCAGATGAGAAAATAGGGAGTCATTTTCGATGCAGTATTGTAGACCTTCTGCAAGCTTGCTACCCTACCTTGACTGAAGAAAGTATTACTAATGAAATTGTTTTATCACAAAACCTGGATCATATCCTGGAGGCACTGACTTGTGTTGAACGTTCTGTGGGTGAGTTATTTTTGTGAACATAAAGACTGATTGATATATGGATCTAAAATTTTTCTTTGGCCTTTCCAGACAGCAATAAATCCAGTAGTAATGCTCTTTGACATATGCATAGATATGTATTTTAAAAAATACAAATGGTAAAATTTGTCTGTAATTCTTACATTTGTTTTCACAGCTAAAATTCTGAACTTGTCAGAGACATTATTTGTCCTATTTCTATGCAGTCCTAGCAAAGAATTCTTTTAAGTGTATTTTAATGTGGCACCCTGTAGATAAATAGGTGTATTCTTACTCTTCCTTCTTTCTCTTTTTTTTTGTAACAAAGTGGAGATAAACTTACAAAACCTTTGTAATACCATAATACCTTCCAATTTGCATAGGGCTGTCATAAAACATCTCATCTTTTCCACAGCTGCTTTTTCTTACAGCTCTCTTCATTATATAGCATTGGTGTTTCTCTGCTTCTATTCACCAAATTTCTAAATGGCTTTTTGTGTTCTTAAAATATTTAATAAGCAAAAATTTAGGAGAGGTCTAAGAGCTGAATGTTTTGGAGCTCAAGAATTGGTCAGCACCTGTGTTTTTGTGTTTTAGAATAAATGTTAATGGCACAGAACTAGATACATTTTAGGTCTGCCTTAGTATAGTTCTAACTTGTCAGAGCCGTGGTTACCAATTTAGATGAACTGTAGTTTTATTCTGCTGTGAAAATTTCTGTTGCTTTCTATTGAATTATAATGCTAATAGTATAAATTTCCCTTGTTTTCAGTTAAATTCTAATGCTTATACTGAGAGCAATAATTGCAGAGAGGAAATAAAGCTAAAGCATTTCTCTCTCTTCCCCACCTGCCTCCTTTCTTTTTGACGTTTAATCCTTGAATCTTGGACATACCTCTGTTCTCTTAAACCAGACCCTAAAGGGAGCCTGCTTAGCACCTTGGTGGAGCAGGGCTCTCTCAAACCAATGGAGCTGGAAAAGCACCTGGTTTGGAACCAAACACAGCTCCTGCTGAGAACTCTTGACCAGCATACCCAAACCATGCCAGAGAACAACATGCAGACAAACTTTGTGAAGGCCTTCCTTGACTACATCACTACACTGGCTGCTGTGGTGTTACGAAGCTTGAATGCAGAGCTAGGTAAGGGGTTTCTGCTGCAAAGTCTGAGCCTAGGTGAAGATACTCAGACTGTGTAATCTGACCTAATTCTGGAAAGTAATTGTGCAAAATTAGTTCCTTGCCAGATGTACCTACTACCTGTACTTTTGATTTCAACTGATCATTACATTTCTTTTTCTTTTATTTCATAACACCTAGGCCACTCACAGCTCACATAAAAATAGTTGATGTTAGTGGGAAAATGAGAACAGAAGGGCTAACTGCTGATCCAGGCACTGCACTCCACTTAGATTGGAGACAAAACAGCCCTTGACATCCAAAAATTCTTAGTATTATCCCTGTAAGGCAAGATTGATTTTTGCATCCAGTGGATCAGCATTCTGTGTAAATTACAGCTTCCTTAGAGGCAGCAAGCACTTTGCTGCTCCACAGGGATAAGGAAAGAGTGTGTAGAAGGCCATGCAGGGGTAACCAGGCAGAATTTTTTTATAGAATCAGCAAATGATGGTGGTTCATGAAAAGGAATGTACCGTGAGCACATAAAGCTGTCAGAAGAGCAGAACAATTCACTGTACAAGGAGTAAAAATGCGTATCAGTGTTTTAAGGCTGACACTAAATGAGCTGCACTAATGTGAAATACCACAGTACTGATTTCAGGGAATACCTTCCCAAGAGGATAAGAAAAAAGGGCAAAGATCTGTTTGCAGACATGCTGGTTCAGTTCAGGTCACTGCCATGCCAACCGTAACTTCTGCATAGACATGATTTAGTCCTCACTGGCTAACTGACAAAGCCAAAAATCGCACAAAAATACTCAAGGGCTGGGTGAGTTTGGGGGAAATGTATTGGAAAATAAAAAGTAAAGGTAAACTTAGGAGAATGTGTCCAAAGTTACTTGGCATAACTCAGTAGTGGATACGAATGCTTTCCAGCAGTAGTGGCCAGGGTTTCACTCCTTCGTAAAAGTACCTGTACACCTGTGAGTTCCCTCTGCCCTTGCTAACTGACTTCGACAGAGCATGGACTCATCAATCTACATCCAGAGACTCATCAGAAAATAATTCTGCATGTTTTCTACTTCTCACCGTAAATGCATATTTTGTTGAAAGTTTGAAGTAGAGTTTCTAAACTTTTTGAACCTAGATCTTGTTTAAAGGCTGAAGTAACCTGTTTTGGTAACATAATGTTGCCGAGATTGAGAGGTATATCATAATCACAAATGCCTTGCAATTTACTCTAGATTTTATCATTCTAATGTGAATTTAGAACTCTGTGAATTTATTAGACTCAGGGCATTAAAATTTATATTCCTAAAATAAAAGTTGGCTAGTGTGTTCAGCTAATGTGTTTGTATTATAATAAATATTCTGGTGTTTTTTTCTCTAAGATGTATCTGCAGAAGTGAAAGTGGGAAACCCTTTCATACTGTTACAGCAGAGTCCGTCTCAGCTTCTTTCCCAGCTTATTTTTGAGAGACAAGTTCATCCTGACAGGTCAGTGCTTTTCAGATTATGTACTCCTGTAGGTTATTTTGGTATTGTTGACTTCTACCTCAGCCGTGATTAAGTTCTCTGGCTACTTACCACTGGTGGTACAGCCTGCTGTGTCCCACCAGCTGATCACTTGATGCTGCAAGGATTGGTGTGCAGGGAGGAACTTTTTCAGTGCCTTCTCCATCAACCTGAAGATTTTTGGTTGGGAGAATAGTGGCTCCATATTTTTAACAACTACTGTCTGTTGTGAAGTGAGAGTGAAATTATGTGAATTTTTTTTTTTTTAACTGTGTGACAGTTCAGAGGAGCACACTTGCAGCTTATCAATGTAGTATGATAAAGTAAGCCTGTAGGTGTAACTAAGAATACTGGGCATGACTCTTGCCCTTGTCAGCAGGTAAACTGGATAACCTAGACTCCTTCCATTGCAACTACTAAATTAGATTGGCATGGAAACTGTCTGATTTGATGAGGTAGTTTTTAAAAAGATGGACGCTAATGGTGAACTATTTTAGTAGCTTGCATTTAGGTAAAAGTCAATGTTTGAGGAGTAAGTACCCTTTCTGTAAAGCAATGACAGCATAAGCTCTGAGTTAAGTATATGTAATCTTCTTGTGCATGTACCTGTGAAGAATATTAGGGGGCTTGTGTTCTCAAGGCATTTGGAAGATCTATGAAAATATGTAATTATAAAGGACCTTTTATATGTGCTGGGTAAGCTGGTTCTGTTGTCAATCCTACAGGCTTTCTTCTCTCTTGGCTAAAGAAGAGTTGAACCTGAATGTGCAGCAAGTCATTGTTAACTCTTGCTGTGAGCCACTGTCCTTGTGCAGTGCAAGGCAAAACAGCCAGGCAAAGTCTCTTCTGACAAACATCAGCAACCTGACACACCAGTGTGCCTGCCACTGCCTTCCAGATGTTGAAATGCCTATTCACAATTCTGCAGTGACCTCTGAGGATATCTCCACTCAAGCCTCATCCTCTCTGAATGACTTGAGCCAGCACACACTCACTGCCTCCTCCTTGGACTTCCTGAAGTCTCAGTCAAAGCTAATGGCTACAGTGGCATGTCTAAGTGCATCTAATATACAGAAAATTCACAAGTCAAGCTTGTCTTGGATGGAATTTCGGGGCAAACGGGAGGTGCCCTTAAGCTTGGAACAGATTTCCAGGGAGTGTGAGGCGCTGTTGAAGGAGTTCCCAATATTGGAACGATTTCTTCTTGCTATGTTTGACCCGCTTCGGAATCAAGAGGAAGGTAGCAGTTTGGCTACTGTCTTGTCTGGCAAGGCATACATGTCTCTGGTTCTCCTAGGATTACATTCCACCACAGCTGTTAAAGTTTTAATGGGAGTCTTTGAACAAGCTCTTGGGGCAAAGGATTGGGACAGAGCTCTGAAGGTCTTGGATCTGTACAGTCAGGATGTGGAGGAAGTGGTCAGTGTAAAGGATGCTGTGCTGAGTTGTGCAGCTGCTGAAGGTAAGAAAGATTAAGTCAGGCTTTTTTTCCTTTTTTTTTTTTTTAAATAAAGAATGTAGTCTGGGTCAAGACATAGAAACTAAAGTAGTGGTCCTTGGGCAAATCCAGAGATGGAAATAGATAATTTTCCTTTCTTCATCCTGAATTTGCTTTCTCTGGTGGTGTTGTTTCTGTTTCACAAATGTGCAAATCAAGATCAATTCAGTACAAGAGAACTGGAATGCATCTCTGGTGTTATTTTTATGTGAGGAGCCAAATACACCAGGGCACATCATTGTACTGTTAATGAAACATCTCTTACAGCAGTATCATTGTCCTGCATAGATGATGTGGATCTGTGAAAGGTGCCTTTTGGAGTCTGAATAGTATCTCATGCTAACTTTGGATGTTTCCCAAAAATTCGATGCTTGGGATGACTCTTACAAAGATTTTTCAGCCCTGACAGTGTTTCTTTTGTTGATGTGATCCAGCAAGGATAAGGATTTTTTTTGTTTTCTGAATTGTAGAAAGTGAATTTCAGATTAGTGTTTTGTTTCCTCCACAGATAAGGATGGTTGGCAATACTTGTTCCCAGTAAAAAATGCAGTGTTGAGAAGTAGACTGGCCCTGCGCTGTCTGGACAAGTGGCCCCTTGATGCCTGTTTGGAAATTCTAGCTTACTGCGTTTCTGATCTGGGCATACCTCATGAACTAAAAGCCAATCTGCAGAGCAGGAAGAAAGAACTTCTGGTTTATCAAAAGGTACAAAGTCATCCTTCAAGTAACCAGAGAGATGAAATAGGCAGCAGAAAGCAAATATTGTTTGCCCTCTGAAAAGATTTAGCCCTTGGTTCTTTTTTGATCATGAGAGCTTTTCAAGTCTTTTATCCAAAACAGTTCATGTGAAGTACTATAGCAGCCAATTAACACTCAGCTTCTGTCCTTCATAACTTTACCACCCGCCTATTAGCATTCAGGTCTGCAAACACATTTAGATATAAATATTTTTGTGAATCTGATTGTTTTGCAAAGTATTTTCCATTCTATACAAATTCTAGTGGCTCTGGAAGCTTTCCATGGCAGTTAATCATTTTACAAGTTTGAGAAATGCAGGTAATTTACAAGACTAGTGGTCCAAGGAGCAAGTTTGCATTGCAGTCTGTTCTAACTGCAGCATTGTGCAGATACCCAGGTTAAGTCAGACAGGCTGGCCTGGAGGTCAGCACAGACTGAAAAGCCAAACAGAAAAATAAGGAGCTGTCCCTGCTGAGTTCTGTCTGGTGGGAGTTCTGCTAACTGGCAGCTGAGTTGTCTCTCTGTTAGTGCCAGCAATGTCTGCATTAAACATGCACTTTTACATCCATAATTATTGCCATCTAATCTTTCAAAAACCTTCCCTTATAAATGTGTTTTAAAGACTCACATCTGTGAAAACTGTGGAGGTTTTTTGGAGTGCAAGGGCATTACATCATCCCTGAAGAGGGCTAGAGATAAACATGGGTCTTCTTTTTGACTTTTTCATTCTGTGAAGCAGCTCTTGATGTGATCAGCTTAGCTGTTTTCTTAGGCTACTGATTGCCATAAATTAAAATACTAGAATTTGCGCTACTCTGTATTAACTTTTTCAGATTTTGAATGTGCAAAATGAACCATTGTGGAATGACTGGCAGGATCTGAAAAAAGCCTGCACTGATGACCCCCAGGCTGTGATGAGTATCATTCTTAAAGCAAAGGTATTATGTGAATCACGCATCATTATGTGAATTTTGTTGAATTAGAATACATTAAACTTTGAGTAAATAAATTCATTGGAATAGTATGTTAAAATAATAATCAGTGGGGAGGAAGGATTCATTTATTCAGCTCTGTGCTACAGAAACAAATACAGATCTGTGTTGAATATCGAGATTTACATGTAGTTACTAATGCTTAAGTTTTTGTTAAAACTCTTACTCTGATATATAACCTGTTCTTTTCTTTTAAAATTTTGAAGATTTTAGAATAGTATAACTTCGGTCATAATACAAATTTGATTATTAGGTAAATGCTAATATTGTAAATCTGTCTGTCTTTAAATGTCTTTCTGAAAAGCTAACATGTTTACTGTAAGGTAAACAAGGTATTTTAAATGCAGGCTGTGACTGACAAAATTGGCCATCATCTTCCCTTGTCAATGTAATTATTTTTTTTTTTATCTGGGAGAGGAGTCTAAGCTACAGAATCTCTTGATCAGAACTTTGGGAGAAACAACCGTATGAGGGAAGGTAGAGTTTGTCCTATTGGTTTTACTTTTTTTTTTTTCCTTAATTCTTTAGGATTATGAATTGTGTGAGGAGTGGGGACACTTGTATCCTGTACCAAGAGAAGACTTGATCAATCTTCACCGTGAGCACCTTCTCCACTTACTGGAGATGGGAGACATGGAAAAGGCACTGCAGGTAATAGCAAGACACTCTCAGCCTCATATCCACAGATCAAATAAGTTGACAGCTGTTTTCCCTGTCTTCACTGTGTGTGTTTTCATGGGCTTTTTGGTTCCACCCTTAAGAGATGTTACTTGCTTAGATAAGCTTTTAGATTCCTAGCTCTCCCCTGTTCTGCTTAAGTAAAAATCCAGCTTGGCAATTTAGTTCTTGGACCTAATAGTATAAATGTCACTTACATGGAAATACAAGGCTCCTTTCATTTGAAAAATCGTAATGAAACATGTCAGTGCTGCTTAAGCAGAAGAATCAGAAGTGAAACTAATAACATAAATTAGTCAGCTGTGCTTTAGTGCCCAAATTAGTGGTGTGAGCATTTTTGGTTTTAATAATGATGTAACTGTCACTTGGAGAGTGAATTAATTTGCTTTCTGGAACATTGTAGGGTAATAAACTGTCATGGACAGAAGGCTACCTTCCAGCAGTGTTGTAGGGTTTTGTGTGTTTTATTTGGTTTTGTAGCTTTTACAAAGAATCGAAGACCCTGGTGTTTGCCTTGCCATCAGTGAACAGTCCCTTGACCAGCATCCGAGCTTGGCAGCCTCTCACTTCTTGGCTGATTACCTCACAGCTCACTTCTATGCCAGCCTGACAACAGCACGCCGGAATGAAATCCAGGCACTCTATATAGGATCAAAGGTCAGTAAAACCCCTGCCTTGAGGGATTAACAGCAATAAATAACTGTATAAGTAATTTTGTAATGCATAGTATTTCCATAATATAAAAAGCCTGTAGGTTTCACCAGAGCATTCTTGCCACATCGAGTCTAAGATCTGGAGTCTCAAGATCCAAAGGGAAATTAGAGATGACTTACAGCTTCTCTTTTCTTTCTCCACTTTTGCAGTTCCATATTATGAACAAAGCAGTCTTGTGTATGAACCGTGGGGAGTGGAGGAACACACAGGCTGAAAGAGGATAGGGTGGAATAAAATGAAATTGTGGAGTTTATCAGAACAGTTGATGTCTTTGTCTCAAGTGAAGAAGAAAGTATCCTCAGCTTACTCTCTGTATCAGTAACACCAGGTGCCTATGTATGCCCACCCTTATGGTGGTTTTTTGACTTCATGTTTCTCCCAAGAGCCTTCCAGAGGTGGAGAGTATCACTTCCCTTTCTGGATGGCCACTGCCTTTATAGAAGTCACACAGATTCTGTGCTCAGCCTGGGAATAGATGCATTAATCAGCAGATTACCTTAGCTGAATGCATTACATGTAAACAAAATGCAGTGTTTTTGTTAATGTCTGTTCTGGTGTAGGACTGTAAACAGCAGCTTGCTCCAGTGTGTGCCACAACAGTATTTTGCTGGGCTGCCTGTTTCCTTACTTGTTCCTTCTGAAGATATGACTTAATTTGAAAAGAATCTGTATTCTTTTAAATCTGTATTTTTAAATCTAGAGGAGAATTGCTCTTATTTTGCCTCTTAACAGTTCCTCAAATGATAGGAGGATAAGCATTGGGCTAATATGCTTTTTATAAGTTTATTTTAATAAGAGAATGTGCTGTACTGTGCTACAACATACTTGTAACAAGGTCACAAAAGTTTTTTTCACTCTTCCATAGTCTCTGAAATGAGGCAGTATTTTATAGAATGGGGAGTGGAAGCTAAGTGATTCTGCAAATCCTCTCAGTAAGTTTGTAACTGAAGTAGGAATTGGCCTGAGAACACCCACCTCCTTTTTTTGACCTCCGCCTGTCATTCCATTCTCTGCTCTAGTTTCTTGTCTTTAATCTCACAGAAACAAAGACTTAAAGGTGTGTAATTCTGTGATACTTTTTTTTTTTTTTTGTGTCTCAGGTGCTGCTGACTCTGCCTGAGCTCTCCCGTGTTAACTACTTCCACCTCTCCTCAAGGCCACTGCTTATGTTGGAACAGCTCCTCATGAATATGAAGGTGGACTGGGTAGCTGAGGCTGTGCAGACACTGCACCAGCTTTTAGCTGGGCAGGAAATAGGTTTTAATGTAGAAGACATTGACAATTTGCTTTCCAAGTATGCAGAAAAAGCTCTCAACTTCCCTTTCACATTAAAAGAAAAGAGATCAGGTAACTATCAGAATGCTGGATTTCGTTTGGGAAAGAAGGGCCAAAATCCTCCCAGAATAATTTCAGCAATCGTGGCATAACTTTTTTTAGATGTGTGTGCCTTCAGTCTCCCTCCAGCCCAGTATGTGTCCTTAAAGTCTTTACCTTTCTTGTAAATAGAGGTTTTCAAGGACCAACTGCTCCAAAAGTTTCTCGGACTTTTTTCTCAGTTGTTCCTTATAGAGGTTTCTTTTCTTGTATAATGTTGATCAGTTTTATTTTACTTCTGTTTAATGCAAAGTCACTGACAACTTCAGCACTTCTAAAGCCTGCAGCAAGCTACATCTTCCCTCAAGTAGAATGGGATTTAGTCTTCTGTAGTATCCCCTCCTACCAGAGTCCTATTGCTTTTTCATATAGAAAGCTTCTAGACTCGTAGTTCTGTTTAACAGTCTTGTTATGGTTCTGCTTTCTGGCTTGCCAATCCCTTCTCATTCATGTAGTCTTTGAGTCTCGTGCACTTGGCTTCTTTTAAGATTTCAGAACTGGAACAGCAGAGGGTGCTGCAGATCCATTCCAATGCTCCTGTGTCACTGTATTAAAAAGATATGGTTCTGTATCTATCTCTCTTTGTACCTGCTGATGTGGTAATTTTCATTATGCCAGTTTCCAGGTGTTGACTTCATTTTGTGATTTAGACACAGCTCTTGCTGCATAAAAACATCAGACTTATCTATCTCTTCCTGCCAAATGATCCATAATTTTGCAAATATGTGTGTTCCTTCCACTGCAATGTGTATCATTTAATATTTGCCATGAGCATCTTGTATTAACCAATTGTTTTCACATCTCTGCTGTATTGTTCCTATAGTGATCATTACTCCCTTGCTTTGATAAGGACCCCTTTGTTTGCTTTTTAGGTAATTGAATTTTATACAGTTTTGCATTAATTGCTGTGGACTAATTTGCATGCAGACAGTAATATGTAATTCCATAGGTAGTCCTGTATTGTGCTGAATTTACATAGTCCTGTGAAGGGATTCCTCTAATCTTCTTGAAAACAGATAGATGAATTGATCAGTATTGTCCTCTGATTGTTTTTCCCCCTTTCTTCCCTTTGTCCTAGATTCTCTGACACGTATTCAAGAGAGTCTCAATCAGGTGTTGGAGTGTGAAGTATTGTCTAAACCAGGATCATCAGAACTATCTCCTGTCAGCTTTACTGGTAAGGTTAAGACCTTGGTGCCTGTTGGGATTTAACCTCAGCAGCAACCACAGCTGCTTGATCATTTCCCCCCCAGCCCCTTCACAGGTGGGATGTAAAGGAGATTCTGAAAAGGGTAAAACCTGTGGGTTGAGGTAAGGACAGTTTAATAACTGAAATCAAGTAAGATATAGCAATGATGATCATGATGAAAAGGGAGATAAGAAAAACAGAAAAGAAGAACAAAACCCAAGAAAAACAAATGCCCACCACCTGTTTACCCAGTGCCCAACCCATTCTCCAGTGGAAATCAGCCCCTCCCAGCCGTTTTCTCCCAGTTCATTCACTGGTATGCCATTCTGTGGTCCTTGATTTTTTTTTCCCTCTGATTCCTGTTGTGACCTGAGGAAAATAGCACACCTTGTATTGTCTGAGAGGCTCCACTCACAGTCCTCAGACACAAAAAAATGGAAACTAAGTAATTTAAGCCAGAACAACTGGAGAATATTCGAAGCTAAGAAATAACGGGAGACTCTCCTGCAGATTTTGTTCAGCAACTCGTGCAAGAGATGCAGTCTGTGTGTGCTCTCAGGGAACGACTAACAGAATATCCTCAGACCTCCAAGGATGATGATTCTTAGCAAGTGATGGGTCTGAACTAGAACTGCAGAATGATATCCTGATCTACAGTGTAGGGTGTCTGAATTATTTCCTGCATCTGTATCCTGAAGACTCTTCTTGCTTTCATGAAGTGACAGCAGTGTTTTGGATTTGGCTGTGTAGCTCTTCAGTTTTTTCTTATAATGGTCAGCCTAGTATATCTATCCTGTTAAAAAAACTTGAATGCATGGTCCTTTAATGGACTATGTTTGGAATCTGGTATATACTTAAATAAAAATGAGTTAGCTTTAGTGAAATGGATATTTTTGTTCTTCTTTAGTTTAATATGCATGTACACAGAAGGTGGCTTGAAGGGCTGCAGTGACATGTTGAACTTTTTAATTAACCTGTTGAGTAACTGATTCACGTCATATAAACTAAAAGCCTATCTAATACTGTAGACTTCATTCAATAAGTATTTCATTGCTGGGGTTGAAGATCCCAAGGGCCACACTTAAATTCCTGCCTCTGTGAACTGATTTCCTCACAGTAGATTGTAAAGATGACCAGAATAGGTAGAGCTAGGCTGTTGCTAAGCCACACCACATCTCTCCTGAGATAACAAAGGAAACTCCCAGTCTCTGGGAATGTCAACACTGTGCATACTTCAAATTCTATTTTATTCTGTATTGTGTTTTGGTATCCAATGGCTATGGTATTTTTTTTCTTCCTCCTCCGAATCTCTGCTTGTGATACAAGAACAGACGTTGACATGTTGTCTTATACCTCTCTGTATATTGTTGCAGTAAAGGTCTCTTACTAAATGCTTTTTCTTGCTTGTCAGTCTTGAGGTACTATAAGTTTACAATCTTACAATCTTAGTTTAAAGCATATATATTCCTTATACAATGTTATTCTGCCGTGCCTAGCTGAAAGGTAATGGTAGTAGTCATCTTGTGAGGCAGAAAGATCTTACAGCCTCATTGACTCATGGTGTTTTCTGGTACTTGAGCCTCTATTAAACAGCTTAAATCCCATTCCATATTTTTCTTGGCCTGGCTCATTTTCAGGTGTAACCATATCTGCAAGTCCCAGAGACAGAAGCCTGCAGCAGAACTTGTTTCCTCAAGAATTTGTGCCTCCTGAGAAGCCACCACCAAAGCAGGAATGGATACCTGATGACACTGAAACGATATGTATGGTTTGCAAAACTGAGCGCTTCACTATGGTAAGGAGCAAAAACAAAGTGCAGACATTCCTAGAACTGTGACCTTAATATGAGCACTTCCTCATAGTCTGTTTCCTGAAAGACTCAAACTACTTTAGCAGGTTTGTCTGCATCGCCATGGGCTCAATAAAATTGCTAGTCCTTTTGTATTTAACCATTGGTTTCTATTTAGAGTGGCGAGGAGACTGGCAACAATTAGCTCCTTGCAGAGTTCCGTGAAGTGATAGAGCCTAAAGAGGATATCTGGCCATCAGAGAGAAGACAACTATGGGATCTCAAAAATGTGTAACAGCAGCAGTATTAATATTCCAAAAGGTTTTCTAGTTGACTCTGCTGGCAAGAAATAACATGATCACTGTGTGATTCAGATTACAAGTATAGAAGATTAAATCTTTGCTGCTGGTTTTCTGAAAACTATTGTTTCACAGAGTAGTTGAGCAATGGCCTTGGTGCTGTAAGGGAGAGCATTAATTTTTAATTTTGCAGGTGTGCTGGCAGTCTATTATCTTCTGCTGCTTAGAAATAGTACTGTTTTCCTAAAAGTGCCTGTTGCTTTTGAATTCGGGAATTTTTACAATAGTATCAGAAAAACAGTCTAGAGCTTTTAACTTTTCCAGGACATGATCTAATTAGCTTTGTGGTCAAAACTGGGATAATTTAAGTAATTTAAATTTCCCAATTTCCCAAGCTTTCCCAATTAGCTTTCCCAAGGCTGCTGCAAACATATTTTAAATACTGACCTCTGGCTTTAGGGTTTGATTTTTTTTTTCCCTTTGCTATGCTTTCTTAAAAAGGAATTTTAACAGGGAGAATCAATCACTGTGTAATTCTGAAAAGCCTTATCCTGCATGGGATTACCTCTCTTCAAATGAAATAAGTTTACTCACGAGTGGAGAGAGACACAGGAGGAGACTTTAGTAAATTCTCTTTGTGGCTCATCCATGACCTCTTTTGCTTAGTTTAACAGGCGCCATCACTGCAGGCGCTGTGGCAGACTGGTGTGCAGCTCTTGCTCCACCAAGAAAATGGAAATAGAACCTTGCAGAGAAAATCTGTCCCGTGTGTGTGATCAATGCTATAGCTACTACAACAGAGAAAACGTGCCTGGCTTGGTGCAGGACACAAGCACGTAAGTCCTTCTGTTCTAGTTCTCTTCAATTTTCAGCAGAGTGCATGAATGGAATGAGAGAGACGCAAGCATTTGGTTTTATCTGGATAATGTAACATCAGCTGTTTGGCCTCCAATTGTTGGGATTTTCAGGTTTAGTAGGTGTGGGAATGTTCCTTTTGCCTCATTTTACTTTTCACATTGTAAAGAACATTGGAGGTGCAGGCAACAAATTCTTTAATTCTTTAAGTATCAAAAATTCTTAAAGCATCAGTTAATCACTAACCTAAGAATTGAATGCTTTGGTGCAAAACAGCACAAATTGCTACAATGTGACCAAGCTCCTTGCAGTGTATTCAGCTCCTAGATTAACACTGCATGTTGACTAGCTCTGCTGAACATACCAGTGTTTTAGTTTTCCGTAATTCCTTGGTTATGTCTCCCTGAATCCTTAGGAATTAAAAAGCAAGTTTCTGATTAGATAGGCTTTGAAACTGCCTTTAATAAAAGGGACAGTTGTGATGACAGATTTTTATGATGTGGTTGCTTTCAGTTGAGAATTGGACTGAAATTCACACTGTGTTCACAGGCCAGCTAGTGAAAAGTGCAGGTGAAAAGAATTTTACTCTCTGTGACCTTGAGCAGCTTGACAGGGTCACAGAGAGTAAGATTTACCCTTTCCAGACATGCTTTCAGATGCATTTCCCCTTTTCCTATGGAGCCTGCAGACAGCACTATCCACTATGGCAGTATCAGCAGGCTTCCTAGGAAGAGAGCAATTCTGTGCAGATCTGAGGGGGTAACCTGTGAAAAAACAAGCAGCAATTTGTAGCTGAACAGTTTGTATCCAAACAGTTGCTTACATTGCGGGATGAGGCCAGCAGTGCTCAATGCTGTGCTTGAATGCCACCTGCCAGGTTTTAGTTGATTGTCTGGAGTTTTTTATACTTGCCCTGTTTGTATATCAAACCCAACTAAATCTTAAGGACAGCGACTTGGATGCCAAAGACTTTGTTTTAGCTCTGACATGTCCTGATACTGGGCAGTTCATATTCTCAATGTCTGCTTTTTTATGATATGTGCAACAGCACTGTTCCTACAGGTTATAAGAGCCAATTACTTAGTGCAGTTGAAATACAACAACACAGAGGCAGAATCTTAGATTAACAAACAGAAGGGATTAGGGGCAGGACAGTATGTTGAAAAGGACAGGTAGGGGTAGGTGTTGGATTTTTACAGAACATTGTTAGGAGGAGGGTAGCTATATTGATGTCTGACTTAAACCATGTTTCTCCCAGTATGCTGGAGTAGGCATGATGGTTCTTTCTGTAATTTTATTACAGCAGAAAAGAAGATCAGGACCAAGTGGAAGGTAAGGAATGGAGTAATGTTAAACCTCAGTTTTTTAAAGTGCCTGATTAGCAGTTAGTTACTGGAAGCTGATACACCTAGTTGCAACTAAAGAGTGATCAGAACTTCAGTTACAAAATAATCATTGACGGTTTTTGCATGTGCAGGCTGAAATTGAGCATTTCAATCTTCCGTGAATGGAAGTTGAGACTTAGGAGAGATATCTGAGCCGATATTGAATGTGTTCGATGGGTGTTATAGAAAGGAACTGAAAAAGAGTTGGAGAATCCACTTTTCATTCTAGAAACAGTCAGTGGCAGGCAGTGGTATGAGTAGGAATTAGCTCACTACAGAGCAGTGCTGAGGGATCCTCTTTTTATAAACCATGGCAATACACTTCTGAGTACCACTGCCATGTGCTGTGGTGTTTTATACCCCTGGCTGCCTGGAGGTAGCACAGGAGGAGACCCCTCTTATGGGTCAGGTTGTGTCCTGAGTTCCATCTCCTGTGTCGATTTTGTGAAAATAGTAATTGCATTTTGGTGCCTCAATTTCCAAATCTAATATCTTGGGCTTCAGGAATAATAGCAAAATTTAATTGAATTTTTCTCTATTTTTCCTCGGGAGGTATTTACTGTTTTTGGTGTTTTGGGTGGTTCTGCAAGATTTTCCTACACTGATGTGAAATTCTGTCAGAGCAAGACACAGTTATATGAAGTGCTCAAGTAGCATGAAACATGGTGCAAAATTTGCATTTGTGGAATAACAAAGCAAATAAGAATATTTTTCCTCATTTGTTCCTTTTTGAAGTATGATGGGCTATTTGAGAATTTTTTCCCCTGCTGTTGATGGAAGCTTGCTTTACTGCTTTGTTCCAAGATTGAAACAGCTGAAATGTAGCTTTTTGTGTAGCATTGCTGCACATCACTGCACCTGTGTGATCCAGTCAATAAGAGTATATAAGAACAATGTGGAAAATAATCAGATTTAAGATGGAAAGGTTTATTTTGCTTTTCTAACTTTTCTAATGAGACTGTGAAGAAAGCTTACCAAATATTTTCTAGCTTGGTTTATTTTTGCCAATTCAGTTTCTATTTCAACTTGGAAAAGTGCAGGGGGGATGCTGGGGTTTGGTTTGGCTGCTTTGGGTTTTTTTAATTCATTCTACAGTTTTAGAGTTACTCAACAGTCTAAAAAGGGATGTGAACTCTAAATGAGTATGTTTTGAGTATTTTTTTTTTTCAGAGGAAGCTGATCAGGGGTAAGAGTAGCAAATTATCATTATTCTCCATTTCTTGGCATTGTGAGGTCAGCCATTGTTTTTTTGGAACCACAATCACAAACTTGAGTATCAAAGGGCTTGTGTGCTCTCAGCTACACTCAGATGACAGACAGTATTTGATTTATAACTATTCTGGGTTACAAGTTTCCCAACAAGTATTTCCTTAATCTGGAGGACAGAAAACTACTTTTCACAGAAATTGTATTTCTTGAGTCATTTGATCAGAACTCCAGTTTTCTGTAGCACTACTTTATAAGAACATTTAACATTAGGAGTTAGGTCATCTTAAAATCTTTTGGTTTATGGACGCTATGGTCAAAGAGAAAATTTAAAAAGAAAAAAAAAAAAGGAACATAGAGGTGGTTAAGTCAATTTGTCAATTTACCCTTTCTTTCAAAACTGTTCTTTTATTTTCCTCTTTGAGCTGAAACCCACAGCTCTCACATTTCCAGTTCCTTCCTGCTCAGAAGTATTTAATAAATTGTCTGAGGGAAGGCTAAAGAGGGAAGGCTGCTGTGCTTGATGCCCAGTAGCATACAAGTTAAAAAATAACTTGAAAATACATTACTGGAACCAGTTTTTGGTAACAGTGACAGTAAGTTTAGGTACAATTTGTCAGGCTGCTGAGGGAAGGAAATGTTTCTGTGATCTGTGCTGGATATGTGATGCTGGCAGGAAATGGCACAATGAGAGGATTATAGATGACTATTTTTTGAGAGATAGGAATGTTCTGCATTATGTGTCCTTAGCTGGGTTTGTTGGTTCTTGTGCAGTGATTTTACCTGGTGTTTTCATTTTTGCTGTAGAAACTTCTAATAATGAATATTCCACAGTGGTACGAATACCCAAGGCAACTGATCTTGAATGGATTTTTTCTCTGAATGAAGAGGAGAATGAAATTGTACGCAGCGAATTTTATTATGAACAGGTGAGGTCAGGAGAGAGTCTAATATAAGCAGTTCACTGGAGAGCTACCTCAATATCTATATTTGTCTGTCTTTCCTCAAATTGTCAGGCTCCCAGCTCTTCCTTGTGTATTGCCATTCTCAGCCTGCACAGTGACAGCATAGTATGTGGCCATCAACTGATAGAGCACTGCTGCAAGTTGTCCCAAGGGCTCACTAATCCTGAGGTGGATGCTGGACTCCTCATGGACATCATGAAACAATTGCTCTTCAGTGCTAAAATGATGTTTGTAAAAGCTGGAAGGAGCCAGGACCTAGCTCTCTGTGACAGGTGATTTAATGAGATATTCACTAGGATGTATTGTGGTACTGTCAAGAGCATTATGTTTTTTCATGGAGGAGTGGAGGTGGAAGGGTTGATTTGTGTTTGTACTGTGGGACCAGTTTAAATGAGAAGTTCATAATGCAGGAATAATGTGCAAGTTCAAATAGGAGAAGTTCAAGTAATATGACTACTTAACAATTACTGAGAGTTCTCTGACTAGGAAGAAATTATTCACAAAGATGGGTACATATTTTACTTCTGATATTGTATATCTGCTTTCAGTCTGTATTTTTATACAGGATTTTAAAACCTGTGCTTCCTGAGAAATCATGTTTTACACTTCACACTTTGTCCTACAGAGCTCGAGGTGGCAGGTGTGATATATGAATTTCACAAGTACTGTTTTGGTTTGGTAAGATATAGCTGGTTTCTTCAGTTGGCGTGTTACACTGAACATGGCAAAGAAACCCCAAACAATAACAAATACTCTGACAGGGATAGTATGATGCATAGAGAAACCTGGTGTACTGGTGATTAGAAACCACTGTTCTAAGAGTTGTCTTTGACATAAAGTTCTTTAATGTATGGTAACATACATTACAGTGTAATATATATACATACAGTGAAAGTGTATGTATTTGACCTCTAGCTACATCAGCAAAGTGGATGTGTTGAATATTTTGGTTGCTGCTGCCTACCGTCCAGTGCCATCTTTGGATCAGATCCTTCTCCCAGCAGCAGTAACAAGACTGAGAAATCAGCTTTTGGAAGCAGAGTACTATCAACTAGCCATAGAGGTAATGCTGGTGGAGGGATGTCAGTGTTAAATCTTCTCTAGTGGCTTTTGTTTCCCTCCTTCCTGAATTCAGATGGATGTGATGTGTGAAATGCACAATATTGGAACAAACAAACTGAGATTAAAACTCTAAACATGGAAGAAATAATCTTCTGAACACAGGAAAAAAATTCTGAGACAGAAAGTCCTGCTGTGGAGCAGGCTGCAGAAGGGAAGGATGAGCAGCCTTGTTTCCTGGTACAGTTAAGACTGGAATAGACTAACTGCAAGGAAGTCATTAAATGGAGGAATCTTGCAGCCAGTAGAAAGGGTGAGATACCCTTTGTGGCAGGACTTTATCTGATGCTTAAATGTTAGATTTTATTTGTCTGTAATCTGACAGCAGACATTGATAAGGCACCTTTCCCAGCCATTTATTTGGAAATCAGCAATGTTGGCAAAGAGCTCATCTGATGTGGTTTATCATTATCTAATCCTGCTCCCAGGATTTTGTAAGCCTCTCTTTTATGGCATTGCACTTTGTTAAATACAGGATTATGATACTACAAATAGTATTAAGATTTGTTAAGCAGTAATAAACAGCAAGAATAGATGACCTATTTGAATAGAAATAGTTCTTGTTTAAAAGCAGCTAAAAGTGCTTTAGGCCTACTAAAGAAAATCAGGAATAAATTTTATCAGCAAAGTTGTGTGAAATAAAAAATACCGTGGCAGTTAATGAAGCATCTTCTGTTGCCTTTTTTAAAACCACAAATCTGATGAATTCTGCTCTGTAAAAATCATCTGCTTTTCTGATTTAGAACTCATGAACTGAAATTTCCCAGATAAACAGTAGTTTAAACTTGTACAATAAAAAATTATAAAATATAAAAAATAAAAAACTTCCACATTTGCTGATCATGGGCATTTTGGTAGTTGGTCTTTTGTGCCAGTAATATGGAAATAATCAGCACAGTTTTTTCATATGGTCTTTTAGTTGTTTGTTTTTAATGGGAAATGTGCTCTAGGACGGGGAAGGTCCAAATCACAGACTGTGTGATAAGCCATTTTTCCTATTTGCTGTAGTGGGACTGTGTTGTAATAATAACAAATTATTTTGAATTCAGGTTTCTACAAAATCTGCATTGGATCCAGGTGGAGCATGGCATGCCTGGGGCATGGCTTGCCTTAAAGCTGGAAATTTAACTTCCGCAAGAGAGAAGTTTAACCGATGTTTAAAGCCACCCATGGATCTAAACCAGCTGAACCATGGTTCAAGGCTGGTCCAGGATGTGATCCAGTACCTGGAGTCCACAGTGAAGCCAGTACTCATCACAGTAAGAATCTTCTCTATCTGCTCTGAGGGTCTATGGCAAAGCCAAGTACTGATGGTTTAGTACACATCTTACAGCAATCCATGTTACAATAGCAGGTGTTAGAGTGTTTATTTTCCTTCTTTGTCATGACTGTGCGTTGCAAACTGAATATTGTTGGAAAATTTTTATCTGTTTCATCACTTTGAAGTGGTACCTGAGAACCAGATCATAGGATTTTATAGTAATTTGGGATATACTTTGTGGAAGAAGAAGAGGCTGTACTGGATAATGTATTATTACTTCAGTCTAAGGAAGCTAAACCAAATCCCAGCAGTATTTTGTGATGCTGCAGTGAGTCAATTTTTCAACTAAAACTCTGTTAACTTTACAGAAGTTCAAAGCCTTTCAAACGCTTTCCCACTCCTCTAATCAAAAACCATTATTAAATGGTTTGGAATTCTGTTTAGGTACCAAAAACTTATCTTTTTTACTAAATAACTGCAGAATCATGATGATGAAAGACCAAGTACATATTTTAGGACAATAAAAAAGCCTCTTTGAACCGAGTTGTTGAAGTAGCTGTTGACACTGGAATTTTTTTTAAAGCCTTCTGTCTGTCCCTGGAAATGGCTATGCTGGGTACAGCAACATTCAGCACATCTGTTGATAGCAGGGTTCCAGTTTAGTGTTTATAAAAAGCATTGCTGGATTCTCACCCCTCTGAAGCCTATTTTAAAAACAACAGTAACAGAAGTGCTTCAGGGCTGAGTGACAAGACCTATCTGAAAAGAAGGTTTTCTCTTGCTGATCACCCATCATTGGTTCTCTATGTTAATGACAGGATGATGATTACTTTGCCACATTGAGGGAACTTGAAGCAACACTGAGAACAAGAAGTCTGTCGCTGGAGGTGATGTGTGAGGGGAAGATTCAACACAACAGCTATTATCAGGAGTGCTTGTTCTATTTACATAATTACGGCACTAATCTGGCAATAATAAGCTTTTACATGAGACATGACTGTATGAGAGAAGCACTGCTTCACTTGTTAAATAAGGTGAGTAATTCAATTTTCATCCCTGAAACTGAAATTTGAAAACCAGCAATGAGCGTCGTGCAGTGTTTGGGTGGTTTTCTGCACAGGAGTTTGCTGAGGTCCTGAAATGCTGTTACACAGACTATCCAGTGACTGACAGGAATTCAGTGGGACAGAAGAACAACATTGATCTTTACACATCTAGGAAAGAGAATGTGCAGATTTTTTACAGAGGTCCTGCATCAATGGCACTTCATCTTTCTTTCTACTGTTGAAAACGTGGGACTGTTGTCCTAGAGTTCAGAAGAGAGAAGGATAATTTTTAATTCCAGCATTCAGATAACATTAGACACTACTCTCTATCCCTGTGCCTCTATCTCATGGTATTGCTTGTTGAATCAGATCACCTATGTTTGCAATTCTGTAACCATTAGGAATATAAGGAAATACAGAGGACAGAAGTCTAGGGAACACTTAGGAACAAAGTGTTGTTTCCAGCTCTCCCTTTAGGGAACTGCATGATATAAGGGGATTTAAGTATCTCTGGAGTAAACAGTTCTATTGGTGCTAAACTAGAATTAATATGCCTTTATATTACATAAGGAAAATAAGCTACAGGGGCTTTGCTTCAAGCTACTTTCTGCTTGTGTAGGAATCCCCATCAGAAGTGTTTATTGAAGGGATCTTCATTCCCAGTTATGAAAGTGGAAAACTGCATATGTTGGAGAACTTGCTAGAAACCATTGATCCAGGATTGGAAAGCTGGGGAGTCTACTTGATTGCAGCCTGCAAATACTTGCAAAGAAAGAACTATTACCATATTCTGTATGAACTGCAACAGTTCATGAAGGTAAGTTGAGGGACAGTGCCATCTCTTTCAATGAATCACTGAATACTGTCAGATTCTTGGTTATTTACTTTGGTCTAAACCTTCATTCTGGACAAGTGTATTTTTGCCTCTTTACAGTCTTAGGAAACATAGAAAGGCCTGAGCCTTACTAAGGGTGACCTGATCCATGTCATGGATCTGGCACGTTGTATTAAAGAAAACAGAGCATTGCCTACTCTGTGTGAGCCCTTTAGTGCAGACAGTGATTACTGAAGGTGATGTCCTGCGGTCCATCTTAGTGGTGAGTGCGTTTCTTTCAGGATCACGTCCGTGCTGCAATGACCTGCATTAGATTTTTCACTCATGGAGCAAAGTCTTACACTGAACTTGGAGGAAAACAGACATGGCTTCTAAAGATCAAGGACCATCTCAAAGTCTATCTGCAGGAGGTCTCAAGAAGTGCAGGAAAGAAAAAAATGGCATTCACTTTTCGGAAGAAAATGTCTGCTACGGATGTGTCGAGGTATCTACAAACAAGAAGCTTTGTTTTAGGAGAGGTGAAATTCAGGCTTTAGACTTTGGGGGTTTTATTAGTTTCATTTAAGTTGGCTTTAGCTAACACTTACTGGCTGTCCTTGACCCAAATCTGCTTTTATGTAGTAGCAAGTCTATCTTGCTACCCATCACTTTTTCCCCGAACAATCCAAACCAGGAGATGGGCAGTTGTTTCTACCAAAAATATATGTATGTGTATCAGACTACCCTCTTTTAATTTCAAAAACAAACAGGAACCCTACAGTGCATTGACAATTGTACATGAGTCCACAAGGTTTTTTTCTTTTTCTCTTCCTTTCCTCTCTAAAAAGCAAGCAGCTTTGTAGTGCTTCACTGTCTGCTGGGGCTAACTTAAAACACTGCACTATGTACAAGCTATAGGTGCCAGAGATAGCTGGATTCCTGTATTCAAAAGTCAAAGAGCAAATTTAATCAGATGTCTCTTGTACTTGGGGTTTTATATCTTGGTTTTCTTAGGGGCTTTTTTCTTTCTTTTATTTAGGTTAGACTCTTAGCTTAAACCTAGAGGGCATGTATGAGATGAGGTGAAAATGCAGGAACAGATATTTATTTAGGGATCCAATTTCTCTGGCTCACTTCTTTAAAACAAAGTGAATAATTGCTCAACTTCAGCTTGTGATGCATGTTAAGTGCACAGATCTTAAAAGTAACATTGCTACAGACTTGTACAATGGACAAAGTCAAAAAGCAACTAAAAGAATTGTTTATAAATTTGTTTTCTTTTAAAAGATATTGAACAAATATAGTCAGTTCATATAAATAATTATTGACACTTTCCTTATTACAAAATAAAGTCAGATTTTTTTCACTGTCTAGGCACATCAATACAGTTGATCTGCAGATGGAAGTAACAAAGTTCCTGCATCAGTGTGAGAGCTCAGGAGCCTCTCAAATGACAGATTCCTCCTTGCCCACACTCTTTGGAAACAATAACATGAAAATGGATGTTGCTTGCAAGGTACTAATTACCATATTAAACACAGCTCTATTTTTTATCTACAATACTAACTTGTAATGGAGGTTGAAGCGTTTGATGTTTGGAGCAATTTCTTGTATTTTTTATGGGCAGGTTACTTATGCATGAATGCAACCCATTATTTATGAAAAATTCATGTTTTTCCTCAAAGTAGCAGAGAACATGTGAGAACTTGGAGCTCATCTCCTCAAAGTTTAAATTTTCTGAGGCAGAGCATCCAAAACACAAATAGTAATATTCCTTTTGAGTGCATCCCATTTTGTTTGGAAGCAAGGCAAATAATGCTGTAATTCTAACCATCCTTAACTTCGGCTCATCTCCATCTGTAAATTGCCTTGTGTCCCTCAGGGAAGCAGTGTGTATAATTTGCTGTACTTCTTGGTACTGTTTTCATGCTGTTTTCTGTTGAAGTAATGCATTTTCTTTTGGCTTCTGGGCAAAATCTGGATTTGCATTAATATTGTTTAACTGTATGCAATGAAAAAGGAATGTGCATTCCCAGACTTGTCTATGTCTCTTTTTTCAGGTCATATTGGAAGGCAAAAACATTGAGGAGGGGTTTGGGATTGCATTTAGAGTTCTCCAGGTATGGAAAAAATTGATATAACAAGCAATATTATTACAAAATAACTCCTGAAACCAGTAATTATTTAAACAAAAGCCTTTTGTACCCCCAAATGTATTTTAATCCCCCCAAAAGAAAAACTTGTTGAGAGAAAAGTCACAGGTTTAATTCTTACATGTCCATGTATTTGTGGAAGCTCAGTAAAGAAATTAAGATGCTGTTTCACTAGGACATTTCCAGAGTTAATTGGGTCCTACAAAGGAATGAAATACAGCTTTTCCTTTGCTGTGCACCTTGTTCAGTGTCTTAACTCTGGCAAACCACAATCATAGATGTGTGTAGAGACCTCTCATGTGGTAGCTCTCTGCAGTTCATAACAGTCATGCAAAGACTGTGAATAAATAAGGCCAGGGCTCTCTTTGTTCTGTTCTCCTAATTTGAAAGCAAAATTAATTAACTGGAAACTCTCGCTGGGGACCTCTCATTCCTCATGTCTGGGTAGAAGTTGAGTGATTTTCAGTCAGCGTGGCTCATAAGCCTCTCAGTTCTCCTGAGTGTTTCTCATCCACATAGTCCCAGACAGAGCAGGGCACTTTTGGACAGAGGTGGCACACTGAAAGTATTTATGGATGTGGCAGGCCCTGCTTCTTCTTTCAGGTCAGGATGTACAAGGCAGAGCTCATTTGTAGGGAGATGGAGAGCCCTAGAAAAACAGCACTTCTAAGCAGCAGCCACTACCTCCAATAAAAATGGAGCAGTGAGTCCAGCTGGAAATGGAATCACTTCCATTTCCATCCTTTTTTTTTCTTTACTTAATTATTGCTTGATCAGCTTACAGCTTTTATCATCTCTTCCCTCTTGTGATGGTGTTCGATGGTCAATTGCCTCCTGTTTGGGGTATCCAAAAAGTGACTGCTAGTGAGAGGGCTACAGAAATACAGTGGAAACATGCTAAGTGAGGGAGAGGTGGGTAGGGATCTAGGAAAGATCTTCTGCTAGAAGAAATAAAAATACTTGCCTGAAAAGAAGGCAGTAACAGCACTCTTGGTCTTAAGCAGGATTGATTTTTGCAAGTCTGGTTATAAAAAAGTCAACCCTGAGCAGTGGAAAACCAGAGGCTCCCAAAACAGCTTTAAGTTTTTGGAGTGTGGTGTAGTATTTTGTCTTCAGGAGAGACTGTCTCAGTTGTGTAGACTCTGTCTGAGAAAACCTGCTGAGAATATTCAGCGTGTTGCTCTAATATTCCAACTACCTCTAGGACTTCCAGCTGGAGGCTACAGAAGTGTACAGCAAAGTGGCCAAGCAGCTGGTGAAGCAGCAGAAATACAGCGAGATCCATCAGCTCCTGAAGTGTGTCAATGAGTCTGGAGTGGCAGCAAAAAATGATGGGGATAACATTATCCTAAACTGCCTAAATGAGTTCAAAAACATTCCTGCTGAGGTAATTCTATCCTGTGTTGTGTCCCTTTTGAAGTAAAAAGGGTATAGATAATACAAGCTACAGAGAAGTCTAGTGCCTGTCCTGCTCTGTTAGTGAGTCCTTCAGGTATTCTGGCTCCATACTACAGGCACAGTTTAAAGGTGGGAGTGTGTGGTTTGCCTTGTACAAGATACTCTGAGAGGAAACCATAAGTAGCTGTAGCACACTCCTACCCTGCACTTCCCAAATGGATATCCATGATGGGGACAGAACATTTGCTTCACAAGGTCCTATCAAATGCTGCTGATTGCAGCAGGAGGTGTTCCCTTCGGTGAGGCTTCCCTGGCTAACAAAGAGGATGTGTGGAGGCAGAAACCTCCCACCTCCATGGGAACCAATTCTGTGATTCCCTTTGCCTACCACAGTGTTTTTTTCTATCCCAGTGAGGGAAGGAGATGAACTTTGCTAGTTCTATTGATTAGATTAGGGGATGCAGTTCACTCTTTGAGTCGGGGTGGGCTGTGGGGTGACTCCTGCTGGGGTGTGACATGAAATGAATTTGTAGGTTCCCCACACAAGCCATGTCCATGAGAGACACATAGAGTTCTCTAGGGATACCCCCCAGAGATGGCAGGCAGGAAAAGCTGTGGGTAAAGGGAAGACTTGGAATTACTGTTTTTTTATACTTTCTACATCTGCAACTCTCACAGTTGGGACAGTCTGAGCACCTACTGTGATCTCGGCTGCCCTGCCTGTCCACAGGGGTTTGGTCCCTGATGGGGTAAGACTATTTGCAGACTATTATCACTTCAAATGTGAACACCTTTTCCCTTCTTTGGATACAGGATCTCGATAATCTGATTCAAGATATGGACAGTGATGAAAATAAGGTAAGTAAAAGCACAGTAGCAACAGCTAAACAGCCCAGTCTTGCTCTGCAGCTTGCAGGCTCTTTTTCACTGTCTTCTCTCTCATCCTCATGCAAATAAGATTTTTAAAGGCTGCTTCCTAGATTGAAGAAATCACAGTGAATTCCGTAAGTGCTGAGGAATTCCTCATGATGTTTGTGACTGTAAAGCTGTGACATACAGGTACCAATTGGGACTATCCCTATTAGTTCCTTGAGAGCCCTCAGAGTGAGGGCTGGGCATTTGCTGGAGTGGGAGGAAAAGTATTTCAGAAAGGCACATTGGTGGGTTTGTTGGTTTTGTTATTCAACTTTTCACTTACGTGCATGTAAGTTTCTAGTAATGGCAGACAGCTAATGATGACCACTTCAGCTTATTGTTTGAGGATTATACTATTTCTGTGGTGACCAAGAGTTAAATGATAAAATTTCTGCAGATTCTGATAGACTTTTTCTCTTAGAGGAAATGCAGCCTAAACTAGTTTATTTCTTTGTTGGCTTTCGTTCCAGCCAGCCAAGCCACTGGAGAACTGTAGATGCCTGTTTATAGAAGTAGTTGTGACTCAGATTTTGGGGATTGTCGTAGATCCTGAGTGGCATAGCTGGGAATAAAATCTAGAGATTGGTGACAGTCCTCTGTCTGCTCTGAATAACAGACTCCCTGTTGTAGGCAGATTGAAAAAGAGGCTTTTAATTCTGCTTTTCTGTAAGATCTATCGGTGAAAGATGAGAGTTGTTGTAGAGCTAGCAGTGAAAGAAAATGACAGATTCAGACTACTTGCTATGAGGATACTGTAATTAATGCACGAGGTAGGACTCCGAATACTAATTTCATGGTCATACAGTAAAGGAGTATTTACAAGACACAAACTTAATAAAATATACCTGTTTGCCCATTTTTTTCACTGGGATCTGCTTCATGCCATGCTGCATTTGGTAATGTGCTGCTGCTACCTCATACGACACGCTTCTGCACTGGGTCCTTTCCTGTGAGTCCTTGCTGAAGCATGTCCAGTTAGTTTGCTACAGCTTTCTGACCAAGCTCTGACTGCCTGTGTGCTTCAGATCCAGGCCTACATGATGTGCAACAAGCTGCGCTCTGCGTACCTGGTGTCGGTGCGGCAGGAGAAGGCCCGGGCCGTGCAGCTCGTCCAGCGCGTGCGGCAGCTGGCCGAGAGCAGCGGCGACGATGTCGTCAAGGCCATCTGTGCCCAGTGGCTCTCAGTGCACCAGCCCAAGGTGAGAAATCGGCTTCCCCAGGGCACCAGGAAGTAATGTGTGACTGCCATTTGCCATCATACTGAAGGAGAAGGCTTCAAGACAGCTCAAAGGTGTCTGATTCAGCAGCCTCTAGGTAAAATGGAACTCTGTTGACTGATGTCGGTGGCAAATGGATGCTGCTAATGTGCCTCTGGTGAAGGGAAGTAAATTACAAGTGCCAGTTCTGTATTTTGACAAACAGTCACTACCTCAGGGTGTTTTTTGGCTCTCTTTTTGATGGGGGGAGAGGGGCAATTTCAAACTGAACAAGCAAGGATTTAGATATATGGAAGAGAGCACTTCTGTTTCTGGCTTTAGTTTTTGGGTTTCGTTGGTTTTTAATTTTTGGGGGGGTCGGTATTTTTTGAAAAGCACTGGACTTAATAATATGTGTTTTATTTTTAATCCAGAAAACAAATGTAGAGAGGACAGAAAAATTTTATCAACTCAGTGTAGCCTAGGGTATGAAATTTTTGTGATGTTTCCTGTAAAATTTTCAAGGTTGGAGAGTTCTTCTGATACAAAGACTAAAACTCAAGAGATTTTTTTAAAGCCTCTAGAGAAATCATTGCTACTTCTTTTTTATCTCCCCCACTAGTACAATATACCCAGGTTTTTTTAGTTTGTTTGAAAAGGTAGGAACTGATTCTTTATGGCAGATTTATACTTACCAGTCACACTGTGTGATGTGTGCCATAGATGTGGCACTTGGGCTAGTGCCAGCTAGATGAATGAAGTTCTAAAGGGAACATCCTGTAAGGGGAGTTCAGAGGGAAAACAAGCCTTTAAAATAGTTGAAAAATCATGTGCCTCTTTCTTTACTATGGTGATACCCAATAAATCATTGTGATGCAGCTTTATGACTGAAAAGTTGACAGTAAACTTCATCAGGTATCGCAAACAATAAGGATATAGCAAGCTGTGGCAAAATTAAACAGGTGGTCTGTATCCCTGTCACACAGAGATGCATTTATTTATTTATTACCAGGATAATTTGTCCCTGTCAAGTATAATAGAACACCAAACTGGACATGCCCTGTATTGACAGGTTTTGCTCTGGAATTGTTAGGTTAATCAATTTTATGAAAAAAACAGCAACCTTTGTGTAATGTCATGTCTTCAGGGATGCTGAAAAAAAATAGCTGCTTCTCTGCAACTAGCAATGGGACATGAGAAACTGGCAGAAATGTGTGAGACAGTAGTAGGACCTTCAAAAAAGGAAAAAAAAAGATGTTCCACAAGAGTTTCTGTTTGCTGTTTACATGTATTTCAGCACAAGAAGTAGGGAAACTAATTCACTTTCTCATTAAAAAGTTGTTTACATCAAAAAACCAACAGGTTTTCTGAAGTGTAATGTAATTGTAAATAGTTTTAGTACATAAAATAATTGAGACTGTCAAGTAAGAGTTTTGCACTATCCCCAAGCTCACTGTAATGAAAGAACAGACTTCTATAGTGTTGGAAAGGATTTGGTCCATCTTCTTCAGGGTTTCAAGAGCTGACACAAACGCCTCTCTTTGGAGGTGCTCTGCTTCGCTCACTAGAGCAGAAATGACCACATATAGCTTTCAGAATCCCCTGACCACAGATTTGCATTATCTCATCAGTAAGCAGTACTAATGAAAGCTTTTGTTTCCTTGGCCAGACTGACCTAGCTTTCCATCAGCTTACAGCCATCAGGCTAATCCTAAAACGTGACACTACCTATGGCTTCAGTCATTTTAAAATCTCTGATTATGGGGAGGAGATTTTACTGTGTGTGGGTATCCAGATCTGCAGTGCTATAACAGGCTGTAACACTGCTTGTTCTGCTCGAGTTCCTTCAGCTACAGAGAGCACTCAGAGTGGAGTTTGCCATGCAGACCTGTCAGTTCCATACCTGTCTTTCTTCCTGACCTCTCTGCACTGTACCTGATGCACTTTATATAGTGTTTGTTGTAATTTGATGTTCTTAACCTGGAATTGTAGGGATCTTTCTTGTACCAGCAGAACTGGAATTTTGACTCTGATTAATTACCTTGTGTCATAAATAGTGCAATTATCAAGGGACTTCGAATTTTTGAGCAGGAAAAAGGGATTGAATACTGCCAGTTCAAATAATTTCTGTTACTGACCAAGGTTTGTTTACAATTTAAAAAATAATAAAGTATTATGACTGTTAATGTATTTTCAGTTTATTTTTTATCTCAGGAGAGCTAAGGGTCTCATTCTAGATCTGCATTTTGCTTTTGGTTATGCTTAGTGGTGTAATTAGAAGGGGGATAAATGTTCTATCATGCCAAATTTATCTGTTACTGAGTATCCTCAATATTTAGATCAACTGGAATGTCACATCTTTAGAAGTTCCCCCAGCAGCTAGGTAGCCTAGGTAATTCAGCCTCATGCGTGTACTCAGTAATCCTCGTTAGGGAGCTTTGCAAGTTAATCTAACTCTCCCTTACAAGCCTCTCTTTGAGACAGCTAAATGAGCTTTAGTTTCCTCATTTTTTTACAGATCAGCTGAGAGGTATAAATTACTTGCTCAAGGTCAAAGAGAGTGGATGTATGTCTATGGAAATGTTTATTTTACATGTCTTATGTTAAATCTACAATCAGACTTCTTTGAGAGGAGTATTGACCTGCAAGGGCAAAGGTATTTCACACCAGAGACACTTTTCTGCTTTTTAAAAAAAATGGTTTCTCTTGCTCCTGAAGCCACTTTCAAGATCAGAGAATAGAAACACATAGAAAGCAAGCAAAGGCTCCAGTGGTAGGTAACATTCTACTGCTGTATTATAATTGTGGATTTAGCTTCATAATTGGGATGAAGCATAAAGATGGAAAGGAAAAGGTAGAGTGAGAGGGAGAAGAAACACAAAGGGACTTCTTAAAATGTTACTTGGACTGAGTTCTCTACATTAGTGAGGCACATGCAGATAACAGCCACACCAAGTAAAGTGATTCAGCATTTCTGAAAGAAAATACAGGGTCTTGTAAAAGGAAAATGGCTTTATTTAGTATTGCTCAGAGGTAGCACAGGACTGATCTGCATAGACAGCATCCAGGCAGGCAGAATTAAAATTAGCATTTGTTTTCCAAAACTGGCAGTTGGTCACAGTGGCAGGCTCATATGCAAGTCCAAAAACTTCCAGGCTTTTTTTCAGAAGCAGATAATCCTATGAGCTGTGGCACTTGGTTTCTGACTGCTTAACTCTTTCAGAAATAATCTCTGATTATGGATCACACGCCGGCAATTTGCACTCACGTAGCACTGGAGCTCCAAGGGAGCAGTCCCAGTGCTACGTGGCCTGAGCCAGCTGCTTTGTGGAAGAGCAAGCTGTGTGGTCCTGCACAGGCAGGCTGGCAGCCAGTAACTGCTGGGCAGACAAATGCAAGGATTTCTGTGCAAGTCTTACCTTCCTGTCCTGGAGCTAGCTGGACCATAATACCAAGATAGTCCTGCCTCCTGCTTCAGCTATTTAGCTCCAGGGAGTATGGTGTCATTTAAAGCTAAAGTCTCAGCTGAAGTTGTTTCACTATTTTTTTAACATGATTGAGATGTTCCTTATTCATTCTTCTCTATTTTCTAGGCTCTAAAATAATTTAAAGTGCAGCTGGGGGGGGTGGGGTTTACTGAGACAACTTTTACACTGTCTTTGTTCAATACTTCACAAGAGAGATGTTGATTTTTTTAATAATTTGCCTGTGCACAATTGCAGTCCTCCTGCAGCTTTTAACCTCCTAGTCAACTGCACCAAAACCTGGGTTCTCAGAAGATTTGCCAACCCTCAATTAACTTACTGCAATCAGTGGCTAGGGTCTAGCTTCTTACAGAGCATGCAGAGAAAGTGATTCCACATAAAAACTTTACCTAATGCTTGGCACAAAAAGGCCAGGATCTGTTTCTGTGTGCTTGAGAGTATCTGTATTGCATAACTTGCCAGAAAATCTAACATCCAAAAGTATTTTTGCTCTGCCAGTTCAAAGGGTAGGAACTGAAAGTAATCTCATAGGTTGTAAGTTTAGAGACCTACCACTTTACTATTGCTGTTAGGAAAAAAACCAACCAAACTTTATTTAAAGTAATTCCTTGTTACTTCATAATCTAAACCTAAGACTGCAACCTCCCCTTCTATTCTAAAGCCAGAGAATCATAGCCTTGAGCTGCTGTGTGAGGTAACAAGGAGGTTGCTCCCTGCATCAGTGCTCTAATTCTCCAGCTAGGAAGAGGGACTGATTACTTACAAATCACAATCCTTAAGTATAATATTCCAGAAATTCAAATTACATTGTGCCCACAGAGGCATCCATAGGGCAGCTGAAGTATCAGCATTCTACTCTTGAGGTCTCTCAGCAGTGCTGTTCCCCAGAGAAGCATTGCTGGGCCCAGCCAGGGACACTTGGTGCTGCTCAGTCCCACTGGATGCCAAGGAGCTCACAGCTCACACTCCAGAGTTTCTTTGCAGTCTCATCATCCCGACCACGTGGAGATACATACGCTGGCTGGCAATCACTGTAAGAAAAACATCCTTTTTATTCTTTCAAGTCTACATTAGTACACTGAAATGTCTGTGTTAAGATTAGAGAGTTGCTCTCTATCAGTTGAATTCAAGACCTGTTAAGGAATAGTGGAGGGCTATCCAGAAAATGAGCAAAGGTTAGTGCTAAGCCACCATGAGGAAGTTTTCTTTTCTACTAGCTAGGGAAGAATCTCCCAATGACACCAAGAACTGGCAAGCAAGTCTAGCTCTATCTGTTGTCTCAGCTCTTAAAAGAAACCTCACCAGTTGTGCATTCTCATTAATACCACTAAAAAGGGATATAAACTCTAACCAAGCTTCTTCAGGAGCATAACATTACAAAAAAGTCACTTAAACAGCCCTTCATTCTAAACTATTTATCCCACTATATGTCCAAGAACAACAACATTGTAATAACCATGTATGGTTACTCCCTTTTCCATTATCTTCTGAACTGTGGCTCATTTCTTCTCAGCTCCTCCAATCAGAAAGCACTCAGTCTGGAAAAGAGGTCCTGTGTTCTCAACTGTACTGCTGCAATAACTTGAGGGTTTAAGAGCACAGAGGAAATGGCATCTTGTAAGCTTTCCATTCTGCTCAGTGTTTACAGAAGGAGTTGTTAATATTCCCGAAACAACTGGTAGACTCCCACCTGTCTCACTGTGGCATGCAAATTCTTTTCTTAATGTCTACACTTGTGTTTTATAGTCTATGACCTGGAAAGTGAAAAGAACTAGGCTAGTCCAGTGTAAATTGGTGAACTGGTGTCGAAGCTTCTCATTTCCCACCATGTCCAAAACTCCCTTTATTAAATGAGTTAAAATTCCACCAGTTTTCTGTACTTCAGGACATTAATGCTACATTTTTATCCCGAGACAGACAGTCATCCAGGGAAGACTTAAGATGTCTATTTATATATTCAAGTCTGATTAAGATGGTACAAACTCCCAAATGAAGATCAGGCAATGTCATTACAGAGACTAATCTGGTCACAAATCACAAGAAGCAAGGTCTCCAACAGCATCCATGTGAGGGAAAAAAAGAAAAAAAAAAAAGACAATGAATTTTCATATTCATTCCCAAAAAACAGAACTGTTACAGTGCTCTACATGCAATAGGAAGCTGGCAGACATGAATGGCAGCCTTCAAATCTAGAATGATGATGACTTGAAAGTGCTCTGGGCTGTGGTTTTGGTGATGGGAAAAGGAGAACAATGTAGGGTACTGAAGTAAGTCAAAGAAGTAAAAAAATAGCAGGTTTTCTAATGGGAGCTAAACAAGATCATTTCCATGGCAGCATGACAAGCAGCACAGCAAGAGCCCCTTCCCAACTGATGGGTCTATCACACTGGAGGATAAAGTTATTTGGTGACATGCTGGACCTGAAAATCTCACCTCCTGTCTCTGCAACTCTTATCAGCTCTCCCTGAGAGCACAGGCCCTTCTGCTCCAGTGGGGTAAAACTACAAAGGGAACTGAAATGGTCTTCCCAGGATTGACTGAAGTGACCTCATTAATGACACAGCTTTACTGAAAAGTGATTTTCACAAGTGTTAGGCAGGTCAGTATCGGAGCTCTGAGCATGCGACAGCCATTCCTGCACTTCAAGTACATTCATATTTCTAGCACTAAATGACATGCTCTTGTATGAAGTGTTGCACAGGTCAGGTGTTTCTTCTAACATACTTGCAACGACCTGGAAGAGGTAATGCTCTAGTATTTGTCACCCTCAGTCTTACCAGACAGCCTCTTACCTGGTCCCTTCTTAATGAAGAATTACAGTAAGTCCCGTATTCCCCAGCCAACTGTGGAAGTTGCCTTCCACAGAGTATCACTTTGTCAGCTTGCACGCACCTGAAATATTGTCCTGTCACAGAGTCCAGCTCCTCAGCTACTGCACAGTAGATACTGGTTTGAGCTCCTTCACAAGGTGTCTTCAAGAAGAAAGAGAATATCTTCCACAGCCAAGTCATTACAAATGAGTGCCGGACCAGTTCAGAATAGACAGAACCAGGATGGAGAACGTTTGCTGTGACTTTAGTACCTATGGAAAAATAAAGTAGTCCAGGACAAATCTGCACGGATCAAAGTGTCTTCAGAATAGAAGGGTAATACACTCATCAATTCTACCTTACTTAAAGGAGGAGCCCAGACTTGGATACAGAGAGTGTTAGAGGGCCTGAGTGCTAAACCAGCAGCAGTTTCCATCAGGCTTTTGAGAACACCTGCCTCTTTTGACTTTCTCTAATAGTAATTTCCTGGGGAAGACACTGCTTCTGTTATAGTAAATAAATACAGCTTAAGTTTATGAACAGGACTGAATGACACAACTGTGACAGATGTTGTGGCTTACAAAAGGTACTGTCTAATCTTATGCTTGTTCTACAGGCCTCCAACCTTTAAGGCAGCTGAGTGTGCATTAGCTTTTCTATAGGAGACTGCAGTTGTAGCTGTCTTTTCAGCTTCCACCCACATACCACAACTGTCTGCATGAATGCAGCTAGTTTTTGACAAGCACCAAAGAAAAATGAGATACATTCAACTGTGCCAAGCTACTAAACTCCTCTACCCTGTTGTTGTAAAGACAATCTGTATTGTAAGTGTCCTGGTTCCACAGATAGATGTCTTCTTCCTGCATAGAGCTCTCAGTGACATTTGCCTCAAACCATTCAATTTCTGCACAGACGATTTGCAGCCCTTTCTTCAGTCCACTCGCCCCACCCATAGTGCTCAGAAAGCCAAGCAGATAAACACCCCGCCTGCCTCTGGAACTTGCCTTGCAGCCGCCGGGCCAGCTCCCGTGTGAAGAGCACGTTCGCCAATTTGCTGTGACAGTAGGCGAGGCCACGATTGTAGCTCTTCTCACCATGGAGATCATGGAAGCGGATTCGGCCTCCGTGATGAGCCAGCGAGGACACGTTCACGATGCGGGCTGGGGCACACTGCTTCAGGCGCTCCAGCAAGAGGAAAGTCAAGAGAAAATGACCTAGGGGGGAGACGAAAGGTCATCCTTCTAGGAAGGGTTCCCCTGCTTGCTTATATGTGGTATCTTACTGCTGCCCTCATTTCAAGTCAGGAAAAGGAAATTTTCTGTTAAATTCCCCTGAATTAACATCTACACTTTTTGGGGGCCTTCAAGTTCTGGTCCTCATCTTCAAAAAGCTGGAATTGTCATACATTTCAAAATGTCCCAGGTACCACATACAGATACTTAAACTGGATCCACGATATGCAAATACACCACATTGCAGAACTCTGACTCTGGCCCTCCATCCTTCCTGTGAAAGGAAGAATGAGGAAGAGAAAATCTGAAAGCAGGATTTTCCTTTGGCATTTTGGAATGGATGTTGATGTTAGAAGAAAATTATCTTTAAGGGCAATTCCAACCCAAACCATCTGACAATTCTGTGATTCCATATTGAGTGCAAACAGGATTCTACTGGCCTTACCAAGATGATTGACTCCCAGATGCATCTCAAAGCCATCAGCAGTTTTGGAGTAAGGGCATAACATTACCCCAGCATTATTAATGAGAATATGGAGTTCCTTCTCCTCTGCAAGAAACAACAGACATCCTTAAACAAGGAAACAGAGAATGCAGACATGAAGGTAACACAAGTCACCCCTTGCTGTCTGATTTGCAGCCACATCACCTGTAAAAAAGGATATGTCTCCTCCCACAAATGAGGTCACGGCCTCTGGCCAGCCCCTGCTGTGGACCACACTACCCAAGAGGTACAGAGACAAGCAGGGCAGGGATTTGGCAATAGTTAGAAGAGCAGACAGCAATCCTTGGTAAAATATTCTCATTAAAAAGAAGAACTAGAGACTGTACCTGCAAGAAATTTCTCAGCAAACTCCCGGATGGACTTCGTATCAGCCAAGTCCAGTTTTCTTACAATGACTTGCTGGTTCCCTGTCTCAGCTCGGATTTCACTGGCTGCAGCTTCTGCCTTTGCTATGTCTCTGCAGGCAATAATTACCCTTGCACCTGCAAGGAGGGGAGGGGGGAGCAACAGAAACTGAGATCACTGGAGCACACTGGATGATCTAGGCTATGACAAGCAGGCTGACCGTGCAGAGCAATTACAAACAATATATTGTTTCTTTAGGGAACTGGCATCTCTCAGGAGGGTGGCTGGAAGGCACAAAGGCTTTCCCACTCAATTGTGAGCTATAATCAGCTGAAAGATGATTTCAGACCAGGCAGATGCACATCTTAAGTGTCTCTATCCAGGTTCTCTCCCAGGTCAGGACTGCATTCAACAACACTGGTATAATAGGGTTGTATCTGCCGCTATAATGGGAACATCAAGCCAGGAGCACATAAAGGTGATGGATTCCAGCCAGAGTAATTTCTAAATGGATTGTGAACAGGTACCTTAATCTTCTTACAAGTTAGCCAAATAACATTTACATCAAATTAACTTGAAACATGAATAACTAAAGCACACAGTGGTGGACCTATTTCCCAGCTTCATACAAGCAGAATCCAGGAACTTCCCCAGTCCCCTCAAATCAGTTGCAGTGCAAAGCATTTATTTTCATGTCCCCAGGGCACATATTTGGAGTCCAGGCAATGAAAACAGTTGAGGAACTGGGAACTTGCACCTCAGCGATTACGGCTTCTGAAGGAATAACACTTGGGCTCATCTGCAGAAAAGGGACTACTGTCACAAGGCACAGCCACCCCAGCTGCACGGGGATGTGTGCCGACGAGCCTGCACTTGCCTCTTTGCGCGAGGTCTCTGGCGGTCTCCTTCCCGATGCCTGTGTTGGCTCCTGTGACTATCACCACCTTCCCCTCCAGCCTTGCTGTCGACTTACACCGTCCTCCAGCGACATAGCGCCTGCAAGAGGGGACGCACCAGTCGACTCTGCCTCCTTAGGGGGCTCGGGCCGACGCACCCAGAACCTGGGGGTTCGCATCAACACTCGGGCTCACCGCTGCGCCCTGGGCCCCCGGGAGTCACGGGCGCCCTCGGCTGAAGCAGCTGGTCACGACCGTGTCGTGACCGGGACACCGGGAACGCGCCCCCCAGTCCCCCGCGCTTTCCCGAGCGCGGCCACGCCCTCGGGTCCCGCCCCGCCCGTGCGTCAAGTGGAGCCACGGCTCCCATTGGCTGCTGCCGCGCGCTCCGAGGCCTTTTGGCCAATGGACTACGCCGCCCCGCCTTGAGGAGAACGCGGGCCCCGCCCTCTGCCGCTCCTCCGCGGGCGCGCCGGTGCCGGGACAGTCCGGGGAACGCGCCGGGCGGTGCCAGGGCTGAGCAAGCCAGAGACTCCAGCGCGGCAGTGTCACCTGGGCGCTGGAGCTGGGGAACTCTGAATGTCTCGCCAGCCCAGCGCGGGCCGGAGAGCGGGATTCCCGCTGTTCGCACTCCCGCCACACACGCACAGACACACACGCGCTGAGACGCGAAGCGCGCCAGCTCCGCGCCCCAACGGGCGCCGCTCTGCGGGGCTGAACATACGCGAAGGGCAGGGGCTGCGCTCGGTAAGACGCACCTGATGTAGGGCGCTGCCACGAAAAGAAGGACGGGGACGGAGACGGCGGCGCCCAGCGCGGCTTCCCAGCAGTTGAGCATCGCTCCGCCAGCTACCCGCGCACCGCCGGCGCACGGCTTCCCGCAGCGCCCGCCCCGCCCCTTTGGATCCGCCTCCACCGCACAGGCCCCGCCCCGCGGCCACGGCCTCTCCCGCGCTGGCCTCGCCCACAACCGCAGAGCCGCCCCGCCAGCAGCGGGTTCTGCCCCGCTGGGGGTAGCCGCCGGTGTCGAGCTGCCGGTTGGCCGCATGCTGGCAGCCCGCTGCTTCTTGCCCCGGGCACCGCGCGGCTCCGGCCTGGGTCCCTCGAAACGTTCTGAAACGCACTCCTTAATTAAGGAGCCGAGAAATGTCTGCAGAGACAGCGCAGCGGCGGCTGTCGGCAGCAGCGTTTGAAACACATTTTTACAGCCCCACGTCGAGGTTCATGTCGTTAACCCTGACAAGAGGCGTACAACAGTATACACGTGGGCAGGCGCTGAGGCCTGGGAGCAGCGCGGTGGCGGCTGCGGCGGGTCCCGCCGGAGCCGGGGAGCCCCGGGGCTGCAGCGCGCTCCGTGGCGGCGGCGGACGAGCGCCCCCTCGCGGTGGGGGCACGGCCGCCCCTGCGGGACTACAGCTCCCGGCAGGCAGTGCGCGAGGCCCCGGCGGCGGAAGCACCGGGCCGGGCAGGGCCGGGGGCACGGGGGCTGTGGGGCCATGGCGGGCCGCGGGTCCGCGTCCTCGGAGCACCTGGAGCGGCTGCACGAGATATTCCGCGGGCTGCACGGAGACCTGCGGGGCGTCCCCGAGCGGCTGCGGGGCAGCGCGGCCGGTGAGCCGGGGAGGTGGAGTGGACGTCCCTCGGGGCCGGGGTGAGGCCGCGGTCCATCCGGCCGGAGCTGCCTGTCCGGCGGCGGGGCCGTGGCAGGAGTGCCCGGGTGCTTCTCATTAGACAGGCGTGTTTGAGCAGCTGGGAAGGCAGTGTCCCATCAAGACTTTGTCGGATCGGGGGGGGCTTTGCAGTTGTAGGGATTGGGGACGTCGCTTCTGGTAGGCGCCTGCTGGGAGGAGGCGGGTGGCTCTGCCGTGTGTGGTTTTCAGCTGCTGCCGTGTCCTGGTGGCCGTGCAGGTGTGTGGCTTCACTCCCCTGGAGCTCCTCTGCTCTGGCAAATTTCAACTCCGTAGCCAGACATTGCCGTGCTAGGTTCACAGCATCAGTCTCTGAGAAGGAGTTCTTATTTGGATGCTATTTCATGCTGTTTCTATTTGAACTGGAGTTTAGCCTGGAGAACAGGAGGCTCCGGGCGACCTCTCTCCACAACCACCTGAAAGCCAGGTTAGGGTCGGCCTCTTCTCCCAGGCGACCAGTGACAGGACGAGAGGACACAGTCTTAAGCTGCATGACAGGAGGTTAAAGTTGGACTTTAGGAAGAATTTCTTTGCAGAAACGCTGATTAGACATTGGAGTGAGCTGCCCAGGGAGGTGGTGGAGTCACCCTCCATGGAGGTGCTTAAGGAAATAAACTTTAAATAAATCCAGTGCCACTGGATGTGGCACTCAGTGCCATGGTCTAGTTGACAAGGTGGTGTTAGGTCAGATGGACTCGATGACTGCAGAGGTCTTTTCCAGCCTGATTGATTCTGTGATGCTGTAACAACTGCAGTGCTTTGAGGGTTTGGGTTTCCCCCTTTTTTAAATTTGCCTATGTTGGATTCACATTTAAAACCTCATTAGCAGAAATAGATGCAGTTTTTATTGTCAGAGCTACCCAGAAGCATCTGTAGATTTGTTGGAGAATGTTTGCATTTTAAATTAGTTTTAAAAGTCTGGTTTGTGCACTGTGTACTCACAAAATAGAGAAAACCTATTATTCTAAGTAGTATTAGAAGCACAGCCTGGTTTTACAGCTATCCTTCATACCACACCAGTGGGTAAAATGCTCTGACAGAACACTCCTCTGTGAGGGTCTGTGCTTCTGATTCGGTCCTTGATACTTGGCAGCGTTCTGAGAACCAGAAAAGGAAGCAATGTGACAAGGAGATTTTTGCCACTGTCATTGAATGCCTCTGATGAAGCTCTTCCTATGAGAAGTGTAATCCACAGCTGTCATGAGGTGCTGTACCTCAGCTCAGGTTTTGTACTCCAGTGATGGGCAGGGGCTGTCAGTCACATTCTGCCGTAGTGTTCATTCTCCCACAGTTGATCAGTTTTGCATAAAATCATAAAACCAGTTTGTGCAGAATATACCAGTCTGCGCTAGATAACACAGAGCAGGAAATGCTTAATGTCCTGTTTCTTATCTGGCTTTCTGTTTAATAATAGGCTAAATTCAGGGTCAGTCCTTGTCATCAGCATTTCCAGAAAGTTTGGTACAAGAAAGGTGTTGAAACCCGCAACTGACAACTTGTAAACCTGACTTAATTTCACTAGTGGTTAACAAGGATAAAAAGCTTAAAAGAAGCAATACTCTTTCTGGTAGAAATCCTTATTTTCCTATAGAAATGAGCATGATCAGTTTCCTGGTGAAGTAAAACTTTGTCAGGTCTCCTTGACAATGTGGAAGTCACGAGCAGTGAATTCTGTGCCGTGGGCTTAAATGGAATATTTACAGGCAACCATTTTTGCAGTACTTGGATTTTTTTTTTTTAATAGATTTCAAATAACTGCCAACTAAATTTTCATACATGCTAAAAAAATTTAATACAACTGTTCCAGTCTTTATTTTTTTTTGCTGCAAAAATCCTGGCATTATTTTTTGGAAGTGTTTCTAAGCGAATTTAAGATTTAGGAATTTGTCTATCTGGCAGAGTCATTCCACTCTCCTAATGTTCTTTGTTTGCCTCTTTTACTTATGAGGAGGGAGTTTATCTTTATTTTTCAAGTTATCTGATCCCAAAATATTCAGGATATGATAAAAGAGACCTTGGAATACTCTTTTAAGACAATTCCTATGCTCCAAAAGCAACACATGATCTGTAGTCCTTGGGACATCTTCGAGGGGAAGAGGTTTGGAAATGGTGTTTCACTCTATATAAACAAGATGACAAATTCCTAATTCTAGAAACACTCTTTTTTTCCTCTTCCAAATTTGTCAGAAGGGGAAACAGCCTAGATAAGTTTCAAATCATGTATTTTCCTCTACATGAATTCCATTAGCTGTGCTTTCCCACTGAATCTCTTCCTAACTGGTTGGAAATAAATCACTTAATTGTCAGTGAGCATGTGGGTAGTGCCGCTGTGGCTCAGGCACTGCTGCTGCATTTTAGAAGTTCTGTCCGTGTGCTTTGAGTTGTGGTTCGATGCAGAGTGATGCCAAGTGAATCAGTGTATTTTGGCATTTCTGGATACTGGCTAGGTCCAGTAGAATGTTTTCAAGCCACATTGCTGTATTTCTTGTTGGTCTGTTGACAAAAAGGTCTCAAGCTATTGTTGCTTGGCTTCCCTAAACCATTCCATGATTCTGTGCCTTTTGGGAGCTGGCATTTCTTTGGCTGCAAGCTTATAAGTGCAGCATCTTAGTCTGCATGGGAGAAACAAAGCAGGGAAATGCTCCTTTTCCAGATCTGTGATGGGTTTCCATGACTTTGAAGCAGCAGTGGGTTTAAGAGAGCACTGCTTGAACCAGATTAGTGAAATGGCCTGTATGAAACAAATTACCGACTTCCAGAGGCTGTTTTTCCACATTTCACTTATAACCCACTTATAATTTCACTTGTAACCCAGCTACACAAACAATGGCATCAGCACAAAAGTATATGGTGGCAAATCATGGAGGAAGTTGAGGAGAGTGTATTTAGGAACCTTCTAAGTCAGCATTTCTTCCTCAATAAATTGGGATGTGAAATTGCATTTCCTGATACCAGCTGATACGCAGTATATTAACAGTCATGATGTAGCTTAGTTTGTAATAATTCCATGTGCTATGTGAGACCACAGCTACTTCTTTAGATGATGGGTTTTAGTTCTGTCTTAAGTTCTCTACAGTTCAAGTTCTGGGCTCAGTCTGAATTTGAACAGAGAAGGAAAGCCTACAGCTTAGGCATATTGTGTATGTGAGAGGAGCTATATGCCAGTGTTCTGAACACTTCAAATTTTTTCCTATCTTCTGTGGTTTAAAAGCTACTTCTTTTGCAGAGGACTGTGCTTACCAAAAGGCATTATCAAGTGAGTTTTTTTACTGTGATGATGTTTTTATAATGTTGTATGTAATTTTGTCTTTAATCTAATTGGAGGGTTTTACCAAGATGGCAGTCTACATTTTCTGCTGCCTAGAATTTTGTTTAAGACTGAATAATACCCTTTTGAGACAGGTGAATTAAGCTAGGTGTACAATTATCAATTTTCTGGTAGAATTTGGTTTTGTTTTCAGTATTCTACAACAGCCCTCTGGTGTTCATCTTCAGTGCTTTTGCAAAAGATTACAGAACATATGTTTTTGCTCAGCTGAGATGAGTGAAGTTTCAGATTTAGACTTTCATTGATGGTGGACGTTAAGAGAGATATGATAGGTTTTTAACACATGAAAAATACATGCCTTAAGGTTTTGTTTAAAAATAGAGTAACCCATTTGTTACTAAAAATAGTGAAACCCATTCTTTGGTCTCCAAAACCCTAGGTACACAGATCTGGGTAAATGACTGTCTCAAACAACTAAAATGTCTAGTTGGCTGATTCAAACAACTCATGTCGTTCCAGAAGAGGGAAGCATTTGGGCTTTATTCTGTGAACCTGAGGTGATACCTTGCTGGCATCTTTTATCTCAGAGAACTCTGGAATGCTCATTCTGTGTACTTAGGTTCTTTATGACCATGGGAATGCAGAGTGCCAGATCTCCCAGGACCTTCAGAGCTCACTTGAAAATGTAGTATTCTGTTTAAATCCAAGTTATAGTTTCAACCTTCAGTAATCTTGCCAAGTGTTTGCAAAAAAATAAGAAATATATTTATGAACTGTTTACCAATGTGTCTTCTTTGCTGTTCTTTCACACTAAATGTTTTTCAACATGCAATTCTGTCAGTGGACATTGAAGGACAGTAGGTCAGAAAAATATTTGAAAAATCACTTCTTTTGTCTACCAGAGGCAGTGTTCAGCATTTGGAAGAGCGATTTCTGCTCTCTTGACCCATTCCCTTCTGAAAAGTTGTAAGAACAAGTTGCTCCCATTTGAGATAAATTTTGACCTGGTGTTCTGCAGTCAGCTGTCTGTGGCAGCTTCCCTGTTTCTAATGGATTGCATTGGAGTTCTGTTGTCATTTCTCTATAGTTTATCTGACATACTGCTTTTACTTTCCCAGAGGAGAAGAAAAAACTGGTTCGAGAATTCGATGAGAAGCAGCGTGAAGCCAACGAGACGGTGAGTGTGAGGCTTCCAGCCTTCCTGATGGGTTAAAGACTGATGCCTTAAAAAGGGCAATACTACAAATGTTACATTTTTATGTTACTATTCTGGCAGGCAGGAGATTAATTTTTTTACTGTTTGATGATTGATCTGATAGGTGTGTGTTTGTTAAGACTGTTGTGTATACTTATATACGTAGACAAATATTCTTACGTGTGTTTCGAGGGGGTTTTGAGTGCTTGGTTTTGATACTGCCTTCACTTCATTGAAAAAAGTAGAGTAGTGGAGGTACAATTAAAATTGCTAGTGGTTTTAAGGCAAGCATGTAGAGAATCTGCTGCTTAGGGTTTTTTATCACCCTACTGTCTTTTTTCATGTTGGTCTTAGCCTGTCTGATCTTTCTGTAGTAGACTATAGACTTTCTATAAGTGTATAGGCTTACTGGACAGCAGGTGATATGGAACAGCACCAAAAAGCCATGTGACTTGTCTTTTAAAACAAGACATTGTAGATTAAGCTTTCTTTTCATATTTCAATGTGCAGGTTGTTAGGTTGTTGGGACCTGCAAGTGCAAGGTCCTTTAACTGGTTCTGGTCAATCCCCAATGTCAACACAGGCTGGGGAATGGACAGATCAGAGCACTCTGCCCAGAGGGACTTGGGGGTGCTGCTGGGTGAGAGGCTGGACATGACCCAGCCATGGGCACTGCCAGCCCAGAGAGCCAGATGTGTCCTGGGCTGTATCCAGAGCAGCGTGGGCAGCAGGGCAGGGAGGGGATTCTGCCCCTCTGCTCTTCTCTGCTGAGACCCCACCTGGAACCCTGCATCAACTCTGGGGTGCAGCACAGGAAGGACAAGGAACTGTTGGAGTGAGTCCAGAGAAGGGCCATGAAGATTAGAGGGATGAAGCACCTCTTCTATGAGGGAAGACAGACAATTGAGGTTGCTCAGCCTGTAGAAGGGGCGGCTCTGGGGTGACCTTCAGCACCTAAAGGGAGCTACAAGAGAGCTGGAGAGGGACTTTGGACAAGGGCAGGTAGTGATAGGAAAGGGGTAATGACTTTAAATTGACAAAGGGTTAGATTTGGCATTAGGAAGAAACTTAACTGTGAGGTTGGTGAGACACTGGAACAGTTTTCCTGGGAAGCTCTGGATGCCCCATCCCTGGAAGTGTTCAAGGACAGGTTGGATGGATCTCTGAGCAACTTGGTCTAGTGGAAAGTGTCCTTGCCTATGGCAGGGGTGTTGGAACAAGGTGGTCTTTAAGGTCTCTCCCAACCCAAACTATCCTGTGATTCTGTCTCTGCTGCACAGATGTGATAGAAAGCTGTTACCCATCCTATAAATGCTTAAACTATAAGAAAGTGAGAATTTCAAATTTTGAAACTTAGAGTGATGTTTCAGGGGAAAAAAATAAAGTGTTTAAGCTTGGGAATTTTTTTTTGTTGAGGCATTATGTATCTGAAAATGCACATGGGTTCAACAGCATTGGGTAGTGTGGTGTACACAATACTGGGGCATGGGGTTTGGGGTTTTCCCCCTCAGCCAGTCCAACACAAACATATGAATCCCTTCATTTGGTGCTGAGTTTTGAGTACAGCTGCTGCTGGGAATAGATTTGGTGCTTTAAAGAATAAACATGCTTTCTTTTGTTAAAGCTGCGGGAAATGGAGGAAGAACTGAAGTACGCTCCTGTGCCTTTCCGCAATCAAATGATGAGCAAAATCCGAGCATACAGAAGAGACTTGTCCATGTTCCAGAGAGAGATGAAAAGCACAGATCTGGGATTGGGCCGTGGAAACCAAGGCGATACAAAATACGGAATCTTCGCCACAGAAAATGAGCAGAGTGTGAGGATTAGATGTAAATTGTATTTAACTTGGCTGTGATTGTGCAAAAGCAGTAGCACAGATGCGTTGTTTACAGCATTTCTACTTTAAACCACCTCTGTGCTTTTATAGCTCACTGTATATCTCTCTGCATGTAACATGAATATCTCAGGGAGGACAAAGAACACCTGGAACTCAGAGGAGAGCTTTTCTGTTCTAAAACAAAGATAGTAATGTAATCAAAATTGAGCTCCTTGAAAGCCACGTGACTAGTAATTTGCACAACATTCTGTACTGAAACTCTTCATTTAATCATTCCCCTACAGAAGGGAAAACACAGAAGTGTTGCTACTTAATAAAAAAAAGTTAACTCACCTAGTTCTAATCTCCAAAACTAGCAAAGTGTGAATCATGCATTGTATAGGTTCTTTGGTAGAATTATCTTTTAAGTGATCTTAGTGTAAATAGTTTCAAGAAAATACAAGGATTTTTCCTCTAGCACTTTTTTCACTATGGTTTTGCTGCTACAATGCACAAAGTACACCAATTTCTTGGTACCAGATAGTCTTAGACACATCTGAGCCAGTGAAACTGAATCTCTTTATTGTCTTCAAAGTGCTGTGATCTCTACAGAAAGTTCACGGAGGTGGACTTTTCATTTTTCTGCCTTAGATGAGGATGGTTTGAGGGGGGTTCTTTGCTTAGTATTTCCTTCTGCTGTAGCTTAGGAAATTTTTGCATTTGATTCCTTTTGACTGATTGCTCTAAAACCTGAGAGCAGGGTGATAGATTAGACTTTCTGAAGCTTAAGAAAACACTTTATTTTGAGCTACCTTCTGACCCCAAGGTCAGCAAACATTCCTTATCCTCTAGCCCAGGCTACTGGCATGAAAACAAGATCTTTGTTACTTAGCAGTCCATCTGTTAGTGCTGTTTGTTCCTAATCCTTTTGACTGTAAACTCTTAATTATCTCCCTGGCAACCAACTGTGAAGTCTCAAGGCTGACTTTAGATGTGAATGGAAGTAAAAAGTTAGCATCTGGAAAAGAAATATACTATTTTCATGTAAATGTTCTTTGATGGAAGAGTAAATTGTTACAAAGACAATTTTTTTAAACTGTTTTAACTCATTAGTGCTATATCCTTTTTTGAAATTTAGCCAGATTTGGCTATAATCTTACAAAGTGAACAGGGCTCAGCCAAAATTAACTGGGCTGCATCAGTTAACGTAAGATGTACAGCTAATACAGATGGATGGCCTGTGGAGTTACATTTAAACTTTTTAATGTCAGAAGCCTTATACTTCTGTCTTTGTGCATAACAGTTACACATCCAATATTTTTCAGACTAATCTGCAGTCACAGAGGGTGCTGCTTCTCCAGGGCACAGACAGTCTGAACCGAGCCAGTGAGAGCATCGAGCGCTCGCACCGAATCGCTGCTGAAACCGATCAGATTGGCACAGATATCATCGAGGAACTTGGGGAGCAGCGGGAGCAGCTGGAACGCACCAAGAGCAGGGTGAGCAGGAAACTGGGCACTGCTTTGAAACAATCTGATGTTACTTCAGTGGGAACTGTATGCCAGTAATTACTCTCTTCCTAGGTGTAATAATCCAATTGGGTATTTCTACAGACCACATTCAGGCTGCCACATTTCTATTTGTTCTCATAAAAGAAGAATAATTAGAAGGGTCCAAACCCATGGTGGTCAGATGTCTGCTGCTGTGTCTGTGCAAGATGGGAGATTAGACCTATAGATTTGCTAGGAAAAAATAGCATTACTGAAAAAGTTACAGATTACAAAGTTGTTAATGATTTGCCTTGTGACTAGATTACTTGTAAAAGTTAAGATTTTGGAAGCAGTTAGCAAGTTTTTGTTTTTGTAATGCAAAGAGATTTAGCAGAAGAATAATTACTTAATCACTAGCTTTCCAATATTTGCAGGGAGGGAGAAAATGTTGTCGAACAAGATGCCTATTCCTTATCCTTGGTTCAAGAGGCTCTGCTTCTGTTGCAAAAGCCTCAAAAACTAGTTCACTTGTTTTGTTTATACACTATGCAAAACTAACAATATGATTTTTGAACTAACAAACTGACAGAATTTTGTGCGTGCAAGGGATTCCGAGTGTAAAGCTTTTAGGTGATTGACTTCAGGGGACACTGAGTTTGGCAATTAAGCCCACTCAGCCAAAACAAAAAGCATACCCATGCTCTTGGGAGTTCTCTCTACTCATTGCAACAAAGTCTGTAGCTTTTTCATTTAAGTAGTTCTGTCATTTCAGTCAGAATTTGATTTGTCCTGTTCCAAAATTTGGATTAGAAAGCAGGAAAGGAAATTGATCTTAAGTTTTGTAGGTATTGTTTTTGTCCTTTAGCTAATAAAAAATAGTACAGTCTTTCAGGCATCATAGTCTCTCAACAGACTGTTCATAGAAGCATTGAATTGTTTAGGTTGGAGAAGGCCTCAGAGATCATTAAGTCCAGCCATTAACCCGTCACAATGTGCTCATCACTAAACTGTATCCGTGACTTCTGTTGTGAGCCTCTTAGGCAGTGAGTTGTGGAATTGTGTGAACCACACATTCCAACTGGAAGCAGACTTTCTTCTGACTTGTTCTTTCATAGTGAAGATTTGAAATCTGCTAAGCTCCAAATGGACTTGATAGTTTCCTTCCCAGTTTTGTCCAGTCCATCTCAGTGCAAAGAAACATACAAGCAGTTTTGTAATTGAGGGTCATGTGTTAAACTACAGAGGAATTGTGCAGACAGGAGTCTGTGATATAAGTGACCTGGTTTACCCTTCACTTCCCTAGAATGTTTGGAAGTGGAAAAGTGAAATCCTACCGGGGGACCAGTGGCCATGCATCATGAATCCTATCTGTGAAGCAACACCTTTTTTGTCTATAACCTCACTTCATTACATGCTTCTTAATAGCTGACTAGGTATGCTGGGAAGTTCATTTCTGGGCAATACAAAGCTGAAATGGATTATCCATTAACAGCTCAGAGCTTATACCCACTGGGTCACTTAGACCTGTCAGTACACCACAGTTCTTTCTTTGATAGAACTTGAGCTGCATTTCAAACAGTTCGATATGCACTGCAGTGAACACATCAGTATCACTTTCTTCTAGTGTTAACAACTAGAATAATGAAATGAAACTTAATGAAAGAAGCTAATACCAACTTTCTGATATTTGTATATTAATTAGAGGCAGAAAGTGGTCTCAAATTGCTTATCTTTGTTTATAGCTAAGGGAAAGTATACACAAAAGTCCTGATTTCTCATTAGAAAAGAGGAAATGCTTCCACCTGTGGGTAGAAAACAACGTTGTGTCTATAATTCATTGCAGCATTTCAACACCAGCTGCTTTCACGTGCATCTTCCCAGAGCTGATGTGTGTTTGTTTAAGTGACAAGTAACTTCTGTCTCTCTTCAGCTGGTGAATACAAGTGAGAACTTGAGCAAGAGTCGCAAGATTCTACGCTCAATGTCCCGGAGGTGAGTGGTGTGACTGACAGCAGCATGGGGCACTGCTGGATTTAGGGGGGAAAAAGAGTATCAACTGGGACTGCTGAGACATTTTAGGGAATGTGTAAACAGAATATGTGCCCATATGCAGATGCTAATTTGTGTGTTTTCCTCTTTGGTAATTGCTTAATGGAGTACAGGCTGTTGATCAGGATGATGTGGGCTCTTTAACCATCCAAACCGTGGTGAGGACAGAAGTTACAGTCAATTGCTCCTGGTGCCTTCAGATGCCACTCATTTGGGTTGGGGAAAGCTGTGCCATAAATCACTGCAGCACTGGGCGAGTTAGATGCCTGATGACACAGACAAATCTGTTTAGCCCACACCAGCAAATGCCCTAGAGCAGTTAGTCCTAGGCTGGCCCACGAGATGCCCTGAGCCGGACCATCTACTGTTTTGATGGCTAAAATCTTGGCTTCTTCAGTGGATTTGCAGTTTAGCTGTATTGTTTAATTAAAAAGTTCATAAATTGTATTCCCAGTAGATACTTATCTCCTCACAACCTTTCCTTTATGCCCATTGCTAAAGGAAGTTGTGATAACTGTCTGGTTTTCAGCAGTAGAAGTACATTATTATTTTGAGATTTTAGTTTTTCTTCAACAACATACTTCACATAAAAGCACCACAATGAGGGTTTTAGCACAGGACATCATGTATTGTTTTCCTCTTTGCTTAACTGAAGGAGTAGGCACATATAGAGCAATGATCTGCCTTCTGAGGGACATGGGAAGAGGAACAGAACTGCTACTGCTGAAATAGGAGATTTAAACAGGATTTCCAGGAAAACATGAGTAATGAACTATTGAGTTTGGCCCTTTCTGCTTGTTAAGAGCTTCTTGAAAAGCACAGTGTGGTCATGCTGAAACAGGGAAGGTAAGATAATGCTGATCTGGATCTAGAGTCTGCTTTCATAAACAAGGTGGAATAAAAAACAAACCTTGGATTTTTATTTTTTAATTCTAGAGTAACCACAAATAAGTTGTTGCTGTCAATTATCATCATCCTGGAACTGGCCATCCTAGGAGGTGTGGTCTACTTCAAGTTCTTTCGCAAGAAATGAACATTCATGACCAAGATGAGCTTTTCCACTGATGAGGAATAGGATGGGCTATCTGCTCCCTTTGACTGTCTGAGGGCTGAACTGAGTCATGAGACAGCACATTCAACAGAAACTGTACTGACACTTGAAAGACAGAGAATGGGAGTAAAAAGAAACAGGCTTGAACTACTGGTAAGATTAATAAGAAGGTAATAAATATTTTATTGTCTCATTTTGTATATACTTAACTAAATGAATAAATCTTGGTATGTAATAAAGTAGCCACTGATCAATGGAAAAGCTAGTTTATTTAAAAATTGAGAAGTTAACAGTATTTGCCAAGTGTTGACAATCTATCCACTCAAGTGCCTCAGCAGAGCTCTGTAGTGTCCAATATATCCAACACTTTGGGGTCTTAAATCCTCACTTGCTCTTCACTGTCAGATTCATCTGGAGAGCTGGGTGTTGGGAGTTCATCGAAAGCAATGTGTGCTCCTTCCCTTGACTGCCCAAAGCACGTTGCTATCACATCGACTGCAAGGTGAGCAGTTGCTTTCACTGCCTCTTGAGAAGCTCCCAGCAGTGGATTGACTTCAACCATGTCTACAGCTGAAAGCATTCCTGTGAAAATGATTTGCAGCTTTGTTACTCTGACAAAGGGTACTGTCCTCTCCAAGGTTTTGTTCACAGCCTTTTATTCATTGCAGCAAGTCTGGTATTTGGGTTTCTACCCCTCAGACAACTAAGATTGGCTCTCATGTGAGGGATGAGGTTATTGTTCTCAGATGCAAAGTTGTGTTTTTAATTTGGTTCTTTCTTACGTCATCACTACCTCACTCATTCATGCTTTCAGCATTCAGGAAAAAACGTTTGATGTTCCATACACTTGTATGAGAGGAATGTTTTCATAAACATTCCAAAAATGAGGGGTTACAAAATTTTCTCACATCATATTCTTTTGCCATCCTATTAATGAATTTATAGACTATTGTCTGGTTGGGATTCTTTTAACCTTCTTTTACTGCAAATAATACTGTTTAAACATATTAAATAAAAACTTGATGGTAATAAGATGAAAAGTCCTCATCTATTGAGTCAATTGCAGTATATTTTGTGAAAGCTTGACTTGTTAGTCTTGAATCTTAGAATGGAACTTCAAACTGTTTAAGATTGTTTGCACCCATTTTTGTATTCCAGATGCCCATTTTCACATCTCACCTTATGTGTTTAGGATTAGGGAACAGTATTACACATTTTTGACATTAGTTGTTAAACATACTGTGCATTTTATTTTCTTCTGCTAAGCTGAAGTTGTTGATGGCTAAGCTGCTTCCAATACCAAGGCAAGTGCTCAACCACAGGACTTCTTTTTCCCTTACTGAAAGCAGAATTGACTTTGCAGGCACCTTTGCTTTGACTACACTTGCTATCTATTTACACAGGAAAAACATAGCCAGTATGAGCTCTGGGTAGTTTGTTCTGTCCTTGCTCAGCCCCATACTGCTGGTCAGCTCCTACCTGTGTTGTGTATTTCCTCTGTGATGTACATGCCTTCTCTGTAAGTTAATCCACCTAGAACAGGAGTCCCCGTTGCTGGAGCCAGTGAGGGATCAAAAGCATCAATGTCAAAACTCAGGTGAATTGGTCTCTGTCTCCTGAGACAGGATAAAACAAGAAAAGCAATCTTAGATCCTTAAATGTTTTCTGTGTGCATTTCTTACTGTCCAGGCTAATCAGCAAAATAGCATCAAGCTCCTTGAGCCATGTCTCACATACATTAAACATCTACTCAGCGAGGATTTGGTTGAAGATAAGTCCTTTAGTTCAAACCATCTTAACTGGTATTTGTCATCTTAGTGGAATGATGTAGAGAAGTGTATGATACAAACCAGCCTTTTCTCCTTCTGTACAGAAAGCCAGGGTGAAGGCTGAAACACTGATGTGCATGGCAGCTAGGATGGAGGAAGCACCGAGCTCAAGGATTTCACTGACAGTTCATCAAGATGATCATTTTTCAGGTCAATTCTTAAAGGCTGTCTCCAAACACTGCCATGTAGCCTAACTGCTGAAGTAGTAAAATATAATCTCAAACCTAAAATGTTAGTTACTTACTATATCATCTGCCAGCTGATGACAGCTTAATAAACTGGACACTGCTTGTCACTCAAATGAATTACTGAAGTGGCAGACTGCGTACTTCCAACTTACTGCAGATGCTCAATAAGGAAAGCATCTGGATTATCATCTTCTTTACTTGGCACAGCTGCAGCTAGGAAGGGTGCGCACAGCTTTAGAAAACAGCAGCCTGCAGCTGCAGGTTCTAACCTGTAGGAGAGGTTACCCTTTCTAACTGACCTTCTTTCAGCTCCTAGACTAGCATGATTTGCTCCCTGACCTGGTTCCCCAAACTTGAACAAGGGTGCAGTAGTGAGCTGCAGTAAGGGAGTGGTTAAAGTGAACTTTCCCAGTTGCACTGGCACTGGCAGCTGCCATCAGGACATTGTGTGTGAGTGGTCTAAGGAGGAAGCCATCAAATGCTTCCGCCTCCCATACCAATAGCTCGTTTCAAGTTACTGTCAAGTTTCTGTATGTATTTCTAAAAGTATAATGTGCATCCTGCACTCCGAGTTGATTCAAACATCTTGTCAAACTGCAGAAAACACAGAATTACTTAACAGAACCAAATAGTATAAAACAGAGCCATGACTGTAGTGAGTCATGTAACCTGTCTCAGCCATCTGCCAAAGACTGTGAAATGGTTCCAGTGCTGAGACTTTCCTATATACAGGACACTGTCACAGTTCCATACAGCCACCTTACATCAAGTGACCTTCATTTAAATGACTTTCAGGAAACCAGATGTAGTTTAAATTAGATAACAGTTTGTTACCTGCCCATCAGTTGTTCAAAGGTTCTTTCCATAACTTTCTGAATTCCAAGACGATCGATATCCCTCATGGAAAAATACTGGATGTCAAAGTTCTTCAAAATATAACTGTGAAAATAATTTTTTAAAAAGAATCATTACTGGTTTAAGCTGAAATCTAGCAAGCCTTATGGACATGATTTCAAGCTCATTATTTCAGCCTTTACAAAAATCATTTAATCTAAACCAACTTACTACTCAGCAGGATCCACATCCCTCAAACCAATGTACACAATGTCAGATGCTGAAATGCAGGGCTTCAGCCAGGAAAAGCCAGGAAGTTGTGGTACCTGCAAGCAAAAGTTTGGTATTGGGTCAGTTAATACCTAACAAAATTCTATTTAATGCGTCCCTGAAAATTTTGTATTAATTTATAGCATCTTTCTAGATAGAGAAAATTCTACTTTTGGGGGTTCAGCTGATGTAATCAGTCCTTACCTTCACTCCTATGTCCAGCTCAGGTAAAGTGATAGGACTTCATCTGATTTAAATGTTAATGGATGAAGTTTTTAACTCTTCCATATTTTCCAGTTTGAAGAGGAGGACTAAAAAGCCCAAATCCACAAGCAATAGGTAATTTGCATCAGTGAGTGTAAAGAGTAATGCTAAAGTACATATCCAGATGTAGATCACTTACACAGGGCACTTAATGGTGATGCTTAGGTGAAAGAATGAAAACCAAGACACCTTAGGAGAACTACCAAAGTCATGCAAACTTACAAAGACAGTATGAAAGGTGGATAAATTCAAGTGGGAAGTTGAAAAAAAAAAGAAAAAATAAAAGAGAGGAAAAAAGCAGGGCAAGAAGTTGGACCTCCAGAGTGGGCTACATCACGCTGGCTTCTCATGCAGAGTTGAAGCGAGTAGGTCAAGGACAGCAACTGAAAGATTATGAAGTCATAATTTTTCAGCTTTGGTAATTAAGTAGTCACAGTATGGAATTATAAAAACATTCAGTTAGTAATGCCTACTAATTTTAAGACTGATTTAAATTAACTCAAATTTCTCTTCTTTCAGCTCTGAAAATGGCTACAGCCAACATAGCTGTCAAGCATCTAGAAGGTTTTGTTTCCCTCCTAGACTTCTCAGTTACTAATTATATTCTGATTACAATATTGGATGTTTTTAATAGTTAACACATTCATAGCCATATTTAATTACATTGGGTTAAATTAGCACAGATTATAAAAGTATTTGCTACTCTAGGACAATGACCTGAAACTTCTCCAGACATAAATTAAGAAAAGGGATAAATGAATTGGAGACCACTAGGAAAAATAAATTCAGGTTTCAAAAATGAATTCTGCAAAACTCATCACCACACTATAAACTGAGCATAATAATGATAATATTGTCAGATAACTCTAGTATCAATGATTCAGTAGACTAAAGCTGCAATTACACCACTTTGTAAATAAATAAAATTGAATGTATTAACTGCCTTTGACAGGTTTTTTTCTTTGTTACAATGGAAAAGGATAGTAGTAGTTGCTGATAGTAAAGCCAGAGGTGCAGGCATTTTATGGGAAGGTATTATAGCAGTTTGTGAGTTTGGATGGTTCCAGGAGCCCTGAAGCAGTCAGGAAAGGATGATAATTTTTTTTGTCCCATTATTGACTCAACTGCTGTACTGGATGAGAGTAAGAGGGTGAGCCACGTACTCCTGCACACATAACAGTTTGCTCCAGAGTCAGAGGGACATTGGCCAGACAAACCATTGCCAAAGGCACATTCTGCTACTGCTAAAGAGCTGTTTAAAAATTCATAGTGCTGTAGAAGCCTCGTGCTACCAGCAGGACTTTGTTGGCTTTCCACCCTCTAAACAGGAATACAGGAGGGTAACAAAAACCCCAGGTGAGTGCACATGCCTGTTTGTTCAAGTGTACAGGCATCTGCCTGCTGGAGTTGAGCTGGGCTTGTGACAAGACCCCATAACCAGCACCATGCCTGAGTAGCTTGCCACTAAGCATAGCCTAATCCTATTCTCTTTTCACTACTGCTGCTCACAAGAAAGCTGCTCCCCCACTCACCCCAGAAAGCTTACAGGTATTCTTTTAGTATGTCAAAAAAGCCCAATAATGGTAAAAAAATTACTGCTTTTCTATGCTGCTCAAGAACTGGAACCCAGCAGACCAGTATCTCCTCCTTCCTCAGCTCTCACAGAACTTTAGTTTTTCCCTGCTCCCACCAAGCCATAAACTGTTCACCTTAGGTGAACCCTAAAATTCACAAAATTGTCTTTTTCTCTTCTTATCTCCCTTAAGAAAGTTGTCAAAAAGAAAAAAAAAATATCACCCTCTTTAACTTTTGGGCAAAAAAGTAGAAGTACAGTAACCTTTTCACGTTCAGGGGGTGTTCCAAAAATCCACATTTAGTTTTGCATTACTTTGGGAATTCCAACACATCTGCAGAGACCTAGACATAAGAATGACTAGAAAGAGTGAAGTATATAAAAGCACCAAACTTGTGGATGGAAATAATTCAAAAGAATTTGCAAGAGAAAAAGCAGAAGAGCTTTATGAGATGACTGCAGTATTGCCATGCTGAACAGGAACTGATGCACTGGTATCTTCAGTAGCCATATAGATTTTAAAATACTTGTTCTTGCTTGGAAAGGGCATACTTCCAGCAGCACAGCACCCCAAATTAGTCAGAGAGAACCGAGAAACTTAGGAATAATAACAAGCAATGCAGAGTGCCAAAATAAAGCAGTCAGGTTTTCTGCAGCTCCAGCATCCATTCTCAAGATGCAGTTGCTGATCCTGCTCTCTCTCTCCAGCCTGAGCTTCAGCAGAAGCAGATTGTTGTACCAAGGTCCCTGCTGCAGAGGCCTCGCTGTTCACTGCACGGTGCTGCAGGTCCCTGTACAGGGTGACACAGCCCACATAGGCCAGGCAGAGTACATAGGCCTTAGGTCAGCCTAAGGTTCAGCATCTTGACAGCAGCAAAAATGGGCCATGCATATTCCCTGTGCCCCAGGAAACAGCTTTTTTGATAATTTAACCTCTTCTCCAAGAAAAAGGCTCTCTCTTTAAAAGCTCACTGCAAGCAGTTACAGCTGTTCTGATTTGTAATATTTACAGTAGAACCAATGCCAAAGCAGCCAGTTTGGAGAGATCATACAGGAACAGCCCCTGTAAGGCCCCAAGGTTGTCAAAACATGGAAGAGCCAAACTAAGCAGAAGCAGTGTGCAAGGTATGCAGGAACCAGCTGTTTCTGGAGGTGAGCTCAGCTCGGCTCTCACAGGCTGGGCTGAGGGGAGGTTCCTGCTCAGTTGGTAGCAGTGCTGCCATTGCCCAGCCTTGGCAACAACTCGTGACACAGGAGAACCACAGTCAGCTGTGTGCAGCTCACTGTGCAGCCCACGAGGGTGCTAACACAAAGAAAAGCTTTTTCTCATTTGTGTTTCTGTGTCTGTATCTGTGTTTATATGTGTTTGTGGCACTTGTATATATGTGTGCATGTATGTGCACATGTACACACACAATCATACATATCTTTCCTTGTGCTCTGATAGAAAAGATCTGCACTTGCAGCAGGCAAGAAAGGACCCTACATCAGCAATGGTGCAATGCTCTGAGGTTGCCATGTAGGATAACTACAATCAGGATACTCACTTTATTTTGAAGCTCCCTCAGGAGAAATGAGAGAGGTTGTCCGTGGAGGCTTCCAGACTGAGTTGTGAGAGGCGTGTTGATATCAGCGTGTGCATCCACCCAGATCACTCCAAGGTGTGGGCACTGCCGTGCATGGCCACTGACAGAACCAAGTGCCAAGCTGGAAGCACAGTAATAAAGTCTTTAGTCACCATTTCTCCAGACAACTACAAGGACAATGGGAGTCTCTCAGCTTCAGTCAGCCATGTTTTTACATTTCCTCACATCAGACATCTATGACAATAAAGGGAACATCCCATACGAACTGCAGGGCATGCTGCTGCTGTGATTCCAGGAGGCCAAGTAACTATAGGGCTGTAGTGACAGATAAGCCAGAGCTTTCTGCTGTCACCCTTCCCACACACTTAATCTTCACCTGCTCTAGATCCAAATGCCCCAGAAAACCTAGCCTTTTTTTATTCTAGTCATGACACCTTCCCCCACAATTCCTTCTTACATGCCCTACCATCTTAACCAATTCTCAGACCAAATGTTAGTGAAAAAGAGGAAAAAGATTCATTATGTAAGATCTATTGCAAAATTGTCTCGGTGTAGGCATTACAAACTTATCCTAAGATGTGATGGGCTAAAGAGACACATCACTGAACATTCAGCAATAAAGAAACTGAACAGTTCCCCTGAAGGAACCTGATGACTCAAACTTCCCCAGAGAGGAAAACTTTAGTTGTGTGTCTACACAACTGATCACAGACCAGTCTGGAACTGGTCAGTACTGTCTGAGAAGGTCAGGTTTTTGTAGCTGCCTTGTATGTTCCCCCCAAATGCCCAACCCTAAGGTGTTGCCAAGAAATGACCTCCCAGTTATTCGTCCAGTCTCCTTGCTTTTTAAATTAAACTCCTGCACTCCAAGTGTCAACCTGCAGCATGAACCACTAATTGTTTTTAGGTCAGCTCACCTGTGATCACCTCCTAAAGTCACACATCTGTGTCCAGCAGCTACTGCTCTGCTCACTGCATCAGCCAGTATCTGGCTGGCCAAGCCCACCGACCGCGGATACAAAATCAGGTTGTTGTACAGTTCATCATTGGGAACTTGAGTGAAATTCAAATCTCCAAAGTCGTGCACTTGGCATCCTGGGAACACAGCAACAAAAGGAGAAAGTGACTTATTTAAATACCTTCCCAGGGAAATGCTCAAAACCATTTGGGCGAGTATAAAAGGAACAATAAGAAAGGAATGGATCCATTTGACTATTTGCACAGGATGCAAACTCTCACAGCATTACAAATTAAAAAGTTTAGGACAATGTTATCAGCTTAAGACAGCTTTAGTTT